ATATTGGAATCTAGGTATTTTCACGGACACAAAAAAAATAATGGAAAAAAATGCTGTACCATAAACTAATTAAGATTTATGTGTGTAAATGTGCGACAGCAGTGTTAATGCACTTTCAAAGAAAAAGTTTTGGCTTGTTTGAGCAATATAAGAGGCCCACTATGGTGCCACCCAGATGCATACACAGCCTCAATGTTGTTGTAGGCAAGCATGTTTGTGGATTAACTTGGGAGGGATTGTATTTATTTATGCATTGACACCTGCTGTGTTTGCTAATTAATTAGCCGCAGTGGCAGCCTGTGTAATTTATAACTTATCAGCACTGTGAAAAACATATACATGAATTAATTAGTGGGGTGGGTTTTCTGTGACATGACATTAAAATGACTACCCTTTTGTAGTCGTGGAACAGCAGAAGTTCATTTGAATATTATTCAAATACCTGTAGCCCGTCTGTGTGCTTGAAAAATAAAAGGGGGAAGAATGTGCTGTTTAGCTTTTGTTCTGCCTGCGTGAGCAGATACCGTTGAGGAAGACGAGGAAGACAGTGGGGTAGGACAACTCCTCTCCACACAGAAGGTTGATGTCCTCCACTCCCAGGTTGAAGGCCAGCTTGACGATGGGGCCGTCCTCCATGTCAGTAGTTATGTGGGTCATCAGAGCCAGATTTTTAACCAGACCACAAGCCTAGACAACAATCACACAGCTGTGAGACTCTAAATGACTTTTATAAACACAATAAATCAGTGGTAAACCAATATGGGTTTTCCAGTGGCTATTGCTGCTCTTTTCCATAAAAAAAAGGTATAAATGAGTAAACTTTTTTTCCGCATGGAAATAAGTAGTGTGAACATACTTCAAAATTTCACTTAAGCATCCACTGACGATGCGGACAAGATGATGGTGTTCTCTAAATGAGGGACACTGACCTCTCCTTCAGGTGTGTCTGAGGGGCACAGCATGCCCCACTGGGAGGGCTGGAGGGAGCGGGGACCGCTAACCTTCCTGGTTTTCTCAAACTGAGAGGAGATCCTGGTCATCATGCCCAGGGCTGAGATGAAGGAGAGGCGGGAGAGAACCTGAGTCACACCCTGCCTGTCCATCTTAAACCTCTTTAGGGACCAGTTCCCCTAAGGGGAAAAAAAGAAAAGAAAATTAAATTTACTAAATTTAATTTGTCTTTTTTTATTGTTAACTAAATCTAAAATGTAAAAAAAAATGTAAACTGTTATAAAAAAATTTTTTTCAGTAACTGATACACAGGTGAAATTAAAGTACAATAAAGAATATAAGATGAAAAACTTAAGCTTAACAACAACCAAAAAAAAAAAAATTTGGAAAAGCTGCCTTAGCGACTAAATGAAAGTTCAAGTACTAAAAGTACTAAAACGAAAATAAAAATAAATTAAATCTGTATAGAAATATTAAAAAAAATAAGAATTACAAAACACTATAAAATTACTAAAACACAAACTAAAATGAAAACTTAAAATATAAAAATAAAGGTAATTCAAATTATAATATAAACTACAACAGTATATAAATACTAAAATAACACTGTGCTGCAAATCTTGAATTACATAGACTAACAGTCATAAGTTTAGACTGAATTTGCTTCATGATCTTTAAAATCTTAATGAAATAAAATTAATGTTTTTCAGACAAATATAGTGTGTACATGATTTCATTCAAAAAAAATTTTTTATCCCCTTAACTGTCACTCACATTTTTGAACATAGACGTGAAAGTCCAACCAAATCCAAACTTAAATTTTTATAATTCATAAATGAAAACATTTTGTAACATGATTTTGATGTACCATTTTCATGGTAATGCAATTTCTGATTTTAAAATGGTTTTCAAAGGATGAATTTTGAGATTTTAAGTTTTCAATTGATATATCATTTCTGATGATTTCTAAAGTGTGATAGAGAAAAGGGCAACGAAGAAGACTTTTTGTGACAAAGGTCAGAACTCCTGTTATGATGTAGATTTTTGAGGTGCACTCTTGTCATAAATTAATACATTACTTTTCCTACATAATTTTTAACAAAAAACTGTGGTAAAATATCTATTTAGGAGTCTTAGACCTTTCCAACAATATATAAAGTTTGTCATGATTAGATTAGGATTTAATTGTAATATAGTGAAGTAAACTTAGGCGTCCCACAGAGCGGACGGGTGACAGTTAAGAGGTTAAATCAATGCAGTGAAGTGGATAGTGAAACAAACATGGAAACTTCAGCAATACTGTTTAAAAGGCATCTCAGGTGGACACTTCCTGATTTGTCTTGCCCTGTGAACCGGTTACAGATTGACCGTTGAGTGTCTGGACTCACAGTAGAGATGGCATTAACCATGCCGTTAGTGATCTGGTCCTGTCTCATGTGCTTCACCACATCAAACTGAGCTGCTCTCTGTTTGGGGATGATCTGGTCAGCGATCTTCTTCAGCTCCGAGTTAAACTTCTTAAACAGATCCTCAAACAGCAGAGACAGGAGCTTAAGGAACACAGAAACAAAGTGTGATTCACTAAAATGGGTACAAAACTCAGTCTAACTAAAACAAAGCCTGTGCATTATCTAGCAAACACAACACATCATCATATATTCACAATCCAGTCATTAACAACAGAAATGATCACATCAACAGAAAAAAAAGAAAAAAAAGGACAGCCAACGGATGACTTCATCTCCAGTCTATTGAATCGCAAGTGCCATCTTTTCCAGATAACTTGTTTTTATTAACTTTATCTGGCTCTAGCCCTCCCTCTCTCCATCTTCTTATCCCAGATTTAATAAACAGGTGTTTCCATGCTCTGATAAATTTGACCCGGCCTCTCATTCTCAAATTTTCTTCAATAGAAGCCCCTCCCCTTCTGCTCCACATTTGCATACGCAAAAATAAACATCCTCACAGAAAATTGATAATGAAATTAAGTTTCCGCAGCCCAGCCAGGCCAATTAGTTGAATGTCAGGGAATTGTAAATGAGGAGAAAGGAGATTGGAGGTGTTGGAAAGAGTGCATGTGCGTGTAAAGCCCCACTGAAAGGGTTTCTGTCACTCACTAACTCTGCATCGCTCACACACTAACGTAAGCAAGCGCATACACACATAAACACACCCCACCTCTGTGCAGGCGGGGGGAAATTAAAGGACTTAAGACAGCGGTAATTACATTATCACAGTCGGGCTGGTGGATTAGCTCAATCGCTCCAGTCAAGGCGGCTATTCTTTTGTCATAGTCGGGCTAAATTATAATAAAGAGGAGAAATCCCTGAGTTTGGCTGGGCTGCAGTCGGGCGTTGCTGCCACATATCTCGCCCGCAACAAAAGCGGGCCGGCTGGGAATGGAGGGAAAGGCAGAAGCATGGGGGTGTGGATGAAACAAAGCACTGGGAAAATAATGACTGTATTATAATGACAAGCAGAGTAGAAACAAAAGGGAAGGTGAGGGATTGGGCGCTAGCCAAGCCTGTATCTGCTGGTTTTGGCTTCTGATCAGTTTCATAAGAGGCCAACAGTGTCTCTAATGAGAGAAAAAGAGATCAGTTGTGTTAGACAAGAGCACAAAAAATGTCGGTGCGCACAAGCGAGACGACACCCACGTCCAGGATGTAATATGCAATCTGCCGTAGAGGAGCGACAATCTCAAAAGAGATAATAACAAACATTATGCATACTAATCTTTATTTCAGCTCCCAAATACATGGCTGGATAAAAACAGATAAATAAACACTAGCATTATCATAATTAATGGCCTGAGCTTGGAGGGGCTGTCAGTCATTCTTAATAGAATTAGAGGGGGTGTGAATGGAAAAGACAGACAGAGATGGATGGAGGAGAGCGATGGATGGATGGAAAGTGGAGCTGCACATTGTACTTTAATCTAAAGTGAATATTTCATGAGCCTTAAATTTATGTGTAGATGCCAAGCAGTTAGAAACATTAGTCACAAAAAAGGCAGCTGAGGTTTGAGCAGGATGCGACACTGAGCAACACATTTTTCACTTTTTGTTGATATAGTAATGAAAGGTGCAACATATTTTTCAGACCAGATTCGAACCTGCTTCTCTCATATGAACAACAGAGCTAAACAAACCAACCAAATGCCATTTCTGAACCCATCAACATTTTGAAGAGCAGGGTTGCAGAAAAACCACCATTTGGGGTTTTTGAAAGAAGGCTCTTTTGCTCACCAAGGCTGCATTTATTTGATTAAAGTTATAGTAACAACAGTAATATTGGGAAGCATTATTAAAATGTAAAATATCTGTTTTATTATCATCAATGTTGAAAGCAGTTGTGCTTAATATTTTTATGGAAACAATCATTTTTTTTCAGGATACATAGAAAGTTAAAAAATAAAAATTGTATTAATTTCTTTTAACAACAAAATCTTACTAACCCTAAACATTGGAATGGCACTGTATAAGGCTGCTGTAGAACTGAGCACTTTATGCATGTGCTGCTGTAGTTTTATTGGAGAAAGCTAATAATTTATGCATATTAATGAATGATTATGTGCAGAGATTATAGAAGACTTACATTTATATTTAGTCATTTAACAGACGCTTTTATCCAAAGCGACTTACAAGTGAGGACAATGGAAGCAATCAAAATCAACAAAAGAGCAATATGCAAGTGCTATAACAAGTCTCTAAGAACCAGATACCTGGCCAGCCAACTCCAGACGTTTGTTTCCATAGTAATCACGATCATCCACTTTGTTGTCCCCTTGAGCGAGAATCACTCTACGCACCATCACAGCGAGGTAGATACACTTAGCTCGAAAGTTAAACTCTTTAACCTGGGAGACACAAACACATGACGGGTCCAACAAACAGCCAACAAACTATTTATACTCTGATTTAACTGCATCATGGAATAAAAACAATTAAAGGAAGACTGAAGGCATGGGCAAAATTATTCAGGATGTGGGGAGCACAGGCACTTAAAGTTTATTTTAAAATGACGTACAGGTACATGGGTGAGGACAGTAGAGGCTAACAGCTCTCTGGCCTCTTCCATCTTGGTTTTCTTTGGGCCGCCCCACATGCGCTGACGCCTCACTTTATTACCAATGTATTTAAGTGCCTAAAAAGAAACAAAGTACACACCGATGAGTCATTAAGATGCAACGTTAACAATTTACAAATATCTTCACTAGTGTTACTATTCTTTTCAGTTTTGCATAAGTATGTTATGAAGAATTAAGTAATAAAGAATGAAAAGCATAATTTTTTTTAGAGCCTCAATTAATAAGATTAAACGCATCAAATCAAAGCGTTTTTTAATCTGGAGTGACCGAGCTGGTGCAGGGTTCACTGGCTCTCTAAAGGGGTATCAGAGAACTGGACTCCTCCATTCTCCGCAGACACATGCACATACACACACACACACCTGAGCCTGCAAATTGTTCTACTCCAGAGGTCAAAGGTCACACAGACTAGGCTTCTCCTTTAGACCACCCACTTTGAGCCATGGAACGATGTGCAACTGACAAGTACCACTCAAAAGTTATGCTAAACTGTTTTTAACATTTCCAGCTTATCTTGTGAGAAATACTTTAGATGCTATGATATAATGTCACAACTCCCTGATCAAGTCAAAACATTGCAATAATCTTGTTTTGTTGTCATACAGGCTACTTAAAATCCTCCATCCCAGTGCTCAATTTTAATACCTTAAAAAACAAAGAACAAAAAACAAAAAAAAGAATAATAATATATTCAAATAATTTACAAATTATTATGTATTGTTGTATACATTACGTGTGTGTATATATATATATATACACATATACACACACACACACACGCAAACACACACACATACATACATACATACATATATATACATATATATATATATATAAACTGCCGTTCAAACGTTTGGGATCAGTAAGCTTTTTAATGTTTTTTAATGGAGTCTCGTGCTCGTCAAGACTATTTATTTGATCAAAAATTAAAAAAAAATATATATAAAAATATTGTGAGATATTTCAATTTCTAATATTGGTTTTCTGTTTTAATATACTTTAAAATATGATTTATTTCTGTGATCAAAGCTGAATTTTCAGCATCATTACTCCAGTCTTCAGTGTCACATGATTCTTCAGAAATCATTCTAATATGCTGATTTATTATCAGTGTTGAAACTGTTGTGCTGCTTCCGTTTTTTTTTTTTTTGGAAACTGATACTCTTTTTCTGGTTTCTTTTATGAATAAAAAGTTAAAAAGAACAGCATATATTTAAAATTACAATCTTTTCTAACAACAGGAGTCTTTACTAATCACTTTTTATCCATTTAACACATCCTTGTTGAATAAAAGTATTCATTATTACTTTCAAAAAAAAGAAAAAAATTTACGGACTCCAAACTTTTGAACAGTAGTGCATATTGTAACAGAAGATTTCCATTTTGAATAAATGCAGTTTTTTTTTTATTTAATATTCATAAAAGAATCCTGAAAAAATTATCACAGGTTCCAAAAAACATGAAGCAGCAAAAAACTGTTTCCGGAATAATCGGTTATCGGTATCGGCCAAAATTTTCATATCGGTGCATCCCTAAATAATATTCAATTCAAATCACAAAATAACAGGGTCTTTTCTGTATTTCTGATCAAATAAATACAGCCTTAATGAGCACAAGAAACTTTGGTAAAAAATATTTAAAATCTTACTTATCCCAAACTTTTGAACGGTAGAGTATATATATATATATATATATATATATACATATAAAAATATACAATATGTATTGAATATAATTTAATTTTAAATTTCAATGTTGCTGCTCAATATTTCATGAAAATATTTTTGAACTACTTTTTTTTCATGATTCTGTTCAAAAGAACAGCATTTAAAATAGAAACTGTTTGTAAAATTATAATTGTATTTACGGTCACTTTTGATCAGTTTAATGCATCTTTGCGGAATAAAAGTATTCATTTATTTCAAGAAAAAAAAAAAATCTTACTGACCCCAAACTTTCAAAAGGTAAGAAATATGCATATATTACAGGAAATTTAGCAGTAAATAAACATTCAAATTTTATGTTCAAATACAATAAGCAAGGCTGCCCTTGGTAGTCATAAATCCTTCATTTCAAACTAGCTTCAAACTCTTGACCGATTCTCAGTCCTAATAACACATCTTATCTAATTGAGGTCTGCTCTGGTCAATTGGTGCACACATGTAGGCTCATTAGCAGACCTTTGATGAGGCCCACACAATGTCACAACCATGTAAACAGGCATTCACATCCGCTCAGACACAGGTTGCTAGGATGCAGATATGGTCCTTGCTGACCCATTGTTGAGTCTTGCAATGAATAATACATCTCAGATTCAGCAAACTGTGCCTCTGCATTTGATAATACACCTCAAAAGTGGGATACCTGGTTTTTGAAAGCTTTAAAGTTTTAAGCATCATTCAGTGGTCATGCAATCGAATGCATTTTTTAATACGTCTAATAACATTTAGCTTAACATTGTTGTTTTGTGTGTATTATGCATTTACCGGCATTGCAAACCACTCTTTTAAATGATGGCAGAGATCTTGTCAGAGGTACCTGAGTTTGGGTGAATATTTGGGCCTTCTGACATTCCTCCAAACTGGGAGCGAATGCAGCCATGACATGTTCCTCCGTACCAATCATCTGAACTATCTCCTGATCGCTCTCCACTCCCATGGCCTGATGAATGACAGAGAGATTAACAGTGAATAAGGTATATATTCAAGTAAAATAAGAAACACAAAGTACAGACTTGTATATTTACAGCAAAAAAAAAAAAACAGCGCAAATAGGACCCTGCTCTAATGCAAAGGTGAATACGGTGCCACTGGCCTCGATGACATTTATTTATGCTAATAGGGGACTGTGAGAACAGGACTGGGTGGATCACAGTGCTTAAAGGTCTCCACCGTTTGGCACGGCTGCTGTGTCGCAAAGGAAATCCTTGTGGAATGTGCTGTGGATGGACAAGTGCAAAGCAAACAAGCTCGACAGCCGATTTACTCCTCACCCTGTCCCTAACCAACCAGACCCATATGTTTAGAGAGAGCCTGGGATGAGGGAATTAGGAAAAACATCCATCATAGTGCGTCTGGGTTTTCTGATCTGAGCTCTAATTAAATGTTTCAACTGTCAGGTGATATTTAACACGGTGTCAAAGAACAGAAGAAACATCATTAAATATGGATAGAAAGGAAAATGCAATAATCTAGCTAAAACAATTAAAATATTATCAAATGCTTTAGAAAAGACCTTGAAAAAAAAACTTATGACAAATGTATCATATCAATGACACATTTCAATAGATGCTTAGAATATCATAATGGCAAGTAATAGTAAAATATCAGAGTATAACATCACCAGTGAGCTCTCTCTGACATAGTAAATAGATATTAATCAACAGATGCTGATGGGTCAAAGCGGTTCAACTTCCATTCTACATTATGTATAGTCACAGCTAAAGCTATTTGAAGCAATTTCATTAAAGATACAGTACCATTTTAGGTTTGGCGTCGGTAAGAAATGTTAAGGTCTTATGCTCACCAATGCCGCATTTATTTATCACAATTACAGTAAAAGCAGTAATAGTTAAATATTAGAGTTTATATACAAATATATTTTTAAAGTAACTTAAAAAATATATTTGCTTGCTGCTCATGAAATATTTAATATTATTGTCAAGGTTGCAAAAAGTTGTCCTGCTTAACATTTTAGTTTAGAAAATGTGATTACTTTTTTGGGGATTCTTTGATGAATAGGAAAAAAAAACAATTTATTTGAAATAGAAATCTTTTGTAACACTATAAATGTCTTTACTGTTATTTTTCATTCATTTAACACACTCTTGTTGAAAAAAAATATAAATTTCTTTAAAAAATAAATTACCTACATTTTTTTGAATGGTACTGAAACAATAGAATTTAGCAATACTTTTAAATTTGTCTAACTATTTTCAGTCACATTGCACTGTATTTTTTTGTCAGTGTGCACCATCTGCTGGTTGGATACAGTATGTGGCCTCATAGCTGTATACTGGACTGTGCAATGACCTAAACCATGAGAAATGCAAGTAGTTAGTATATGTGACCCTGGACCACAAAACCAGTCATAAGGGTCAATTTTCTGGAATTGGGATTTATACATCATCTGAAAGTTGAATAAATAAGCTTTCCATTGATGTATGGTTTGTTAGGATAGGACAATATTTGTCAGAGATACAACTATTTGAAAATCTGGAATCTGAGGGTAGGGCTGCACAATTAATCAAATGCGATTGTCATGCGCATTTTGTCAGTAAAGCGGGTTCTGTAATAAGCAGGAAATCATCATCACGTGCTTTCAGATGGAGCAGAATTTACTACACATAGCCGTAGTTCACTGACAAGTTACGCAAAAAAAACAAACAAAAAAAAAAATTCATAAAATCGCATACGATTTTATTGCGCGATTATGAAATCGAAGAAATCGTTCGCGATAATGACAGCTGTTTGCATAGCTTCTCAGTGAACTACGGCTCTGTGAAAATGAAAATACCACACTTAACATATTTTTACTCCAAACTCACTTCATAATGTCAGTCGAGTGTTTGAAATAAATCCTTGTGAGATGATGTGGCTTCTTACACAGAATAAGGCACGCAACATATTTCATAGTATTTAAGCAGTGATAAAGGCATTGCATTATAAACATACTTTATTTTAATTAAAATTATAATAATAAGAACTCCGATAAACCATTTATTGCCGTAGTCGTGTGTTTATTAGTCACATTGAATCAATGAAAGCAGTTGAATCTTCTGTTTATTCAGCTGCAGATTTTTCTGGGTTTCTTCTGCGAGGCGTATTCGGAGTTTCAGCGCGAGAGCGCCCTCTGGCCTTTGGATGGAGATTTACTGCTGATCACAGAACCGTGCTTCACTGAAAGATACGCATGAAAATCGCAGCTTCTGTCGAATCGCAAACTCGATTGTATTTTGATTTATCGTGCAGCCCTATCTGAGGGTGCAAAAAATCTAAATACTGAGAAAATCACCTTTTAAGTTGTCCAGATGAAGTTCTTAGCAATGCATATTACTAATGAAAAATTAAGTTATGATATTTATGCTAGGGAAATTTACAAAATATCTTCATGGAACATGATCTTTACTTAATATTCTAATGATTTTTGGCATAAAAGAAAAATCTATAATTTTGACCCATACTATGTTTTTTTGGCTATTGCTACAAATATACCCAAGCGACTTAAGACTGGTTTTGAGGTCCAGGGTCACATATAGTTTTCTTTGTCAACTTACCTGACAAAGATACAGAACCATCATGCTCTAAATCACCATTTCTAACCACATTCTCACCTTAAAGATAATAGCAATAGGTGCATCTTCAGAGAGGGTGTTGTGCTTCAGGTAAAAGCGGCCCTTTTTCACAATCATGTTGGTTCTGCTCTTTTTCTCATGAGTAGAACTACAAATCAGAGACAAGTGACAGACATATGAGCACACAAATAAAATGTTAAATGTGCATTTTAAATAAAGCTTATTAATATTACTTAAACAGAAGAGCAAATTCCAGCACCTGGTGACCGAGGCTCCCACAGCACCTTTGCGATCTTGCTCCACGATGATGCGGTTCTTGGATAACTGTTCCTGAATGAGAATGACCTTTTCTTGCCCTTTCACAATGAAATAACCACCTGCACACAGACAAATCCTGTATCATGCTTGTGCGCCATGACCTGCTCCCACACATATGAGCTTTGGATAGGATTATCTGCATCAAACTATGGCATACAAACAATCAAATATCACCGAGACAGTCGGAGGAGTTCTATGATTATCTACCTGGATCCAGAGGACATTCATTAAGCTTCGAGAACTCCATCGGTGTCTTTCCTGTCAATACACAGTTGGAGCTTCGCAGCATTATTGGCATCCTATAAAAAAAAAAGTGCATTTAAAATTGCTAGGGAAAAGAAAACACATATTAAGAGGTGTTTTATATACATATCTATATACACATTAAGCTTTTAGCCCACACATAGGTACCTTCCGATTGGGAGAGCATTGCGAATAATTCTCTGGCTGCCTCGGGTGTACTCTATGTCCACAGTGATGGGGGCTGAATACGTCATATCTCTCAGACGACACTAGTGTTTTAAAAAGCATAATCATCATAAGCAAATACTGACGTCTTGATCTTTTTTTTTCTTCAAAAAGCTTTTCATTTTGCTTTAAATGAGAAGATTCTTTAGGCCACAGATAAAGATGTTACCTCATGTGGTGACACTGGTCTGGTTACATTAAAGCTTTCTTCTACATCAGGCATGCCAACATAGATATTGAGATACCTAGGGACAGATGAGGTGTAACATGCAGTGTTGTTATTGATAACTGAAACTATTAAAAATTATTTTCGGTAGTTGAAGTAAAGCTAATATCAAATAAAATAAGATCATCATATTAAACCAACTGGTAACTAATTGAATAAAAATAAGCTTAAGTACTAAAAAAAAAGTGTAAAAATTAATCTAATTTAATTTAAGTACTGAAATTAATTTAAAGGCTATCAATAAAACATTAAGAAATTATATAACCGTATATAAACAACACTAACTTAACATACTAAATTAAAGATGTACAAATATGTCTAATTCAACAATATCCTTACTTCAGATACCACATTGGATCAGCATCACTTGTGATCTTCTCGTTCGCCTTCATGATCTTTTTTATCTGGAGAGATTAGCAGACATGTCAATATTAAATTGTTATGGTGGTTCAAAATAAAAGTAACCAAAACCATAAACTCGTGTCATAGAAATCACACCCGACAATAAATTTATTGCATTTACAAAATATGTAGAGAACTCTGTGATTGGGACCATGCTTAAATAAGTCAACAAACCTCAACATTGATGAAGTAATTGAAGGAATCGATGTGCTGCTTAACTAAGCCTTTCACCTAAATAAATAAATAAAAATAAGACATTAATATGACATTAGAGGCTGTAAATTTAATATCATTTAGCACAATTCTTGCTGGATGTTAAGAATACATGATATGCATAAGAAAAGAGCATGTATAGAGAGCTGACAAATAAAACAAACATCACTTTCCAATTCAACATCAAAATGTTGGTAAAAAATTTACATTTTGTATCCGTTTTTTCATCAACATTTTTTTTTATAACCAAACAAGTTATTTTTTGCAGTTCACTTAAATATTCCTGTGGCGTGACAAATTAAGTCCAAGTATCAATCATACAGTTGCTTGAATAATAATTATACAAGCAATAATGTTTAATATAGTTTTAAATTATTTTTTTAAACAGCACAGCATGTCTCGCTGTTGTCAGTATTTGAAACGACATGTCAACTATCCATATGCTGTTGTATCTATCATGATGATTTTCATGATAACGTTGGCAATTTGACTTTACCTTCAAAAAGGCTGGAAGCAGCTTCCACTTTTCCTGCAATACAAAAGGGGATAAGGGAATTTCATTACTAACAAGCTAACAAATATAATAACGTTTGCTATTTTGAATAGCGCATTATGACCGTTGCACTCACCTCCACAGTGTCGACGGGAGCAGCGAGCTGCTGGGGAGTCATTTCCCCAAACACCTCCTGCAGCATTTCTCTTATTAGTTGTGATGGTAATAAACCGCAAATGTGAATAATATCATATAATTTAGGAAACCATCACACACGCCGTAGCCAAGTGAAAAACACTCTAAGCGGAAGTTTGCGCTACACGTGAAAGTGTGAGGTGTAACATCAAAATCAGACCGGTGAGGAACTTCTTCTTCTTCTTCTGATGTTTATTGGCGGTTTTGGCAAACCAACTTAAAGGTGCATTACCGCCACCTACTGATCTGGAGTGTGGAGTGAACAGATTTGGTAGAGAGAAGGATATTATATAAAAAAATAAAAAAAATAAAAAAAAACATATACATATACCTACACTATTATATGTATATACATATACCTACACTATTACAATTTATATTCTTTCCATATTTCCTGTCTTTTTTAGATAATTGAACACTTCTTCTTTAATTCTAGATTGCATTCGTCTATTCCCTAGTAATATCTTTAGTGATACTTTATCAAATCCCATCAAACCTAAGCTGTGTGACCAATACGGAGTCTAGATATTATTGTGTCCTCCTTCCTACTTCCAAAGTTTTTCCTTCCATTTCCAACTTGTTTTTGAATGTTGTATAGATGCCGACCCTTTATGTCCCTATCCCACATCTTTTGCCATTTCCTAATCATAGCCCCTCTGATTATTCCTTTCATTTCTGCTTTACTAAGTGATATATTTATATCTATATCGGTTTGTTTTAATGCCTTCTTGGCCATTTGATCGGCTTCCTCATTTCCCTCTATCCCAACATGTGCCGGTGCCCATAAAAATGAAATACTTAATCTATATTGGTGAATTTTGAACATGCTTTGTAGGTGTCCCATTTTCTATTAAATAGCATTTTGGAAAAGAAGAGCCTACTCTTACTTGTATAGTTCGGTCAGATAAAAAACTCATTATCCAATTATACATTCTTCCTTTAATGCCCAATCTGTCTAGTTTAATTAAAATACCTTCTTTCCAAAGCATGTCTTATGCCTTTTCGATGTCTAAGAAAACTCCCACTACTACCTCTTTATGTATTTGTGCCTTCCTGATATCGTCTTCCAAACATAAAACTGCATCCATAGTGTTTCGCCCTTTCCTAAAACCACTTTGATATTGAGATATTAGTCCTTTACTCTCTAGCACATGATTCAGCCTATTCATGACCATACGTTCCATTAATTTACATATATTTGATGTTAGGGCAATCGGCCGATAGCTGGATGCTTGTGAGTGATCCTTCCCTGGTTTTGCAACTGGGACAATTATTCCATGCTTCCAAAAAGATGGAAGTTTCCTTAATTCCCATATCTTATTAAAAAGGGATAAAATAATACGTAATGATGTGTCTGATAAATGCTTAATCATTTCATTACATATTTCATCTTTCCCTGGTGATGTCTGTCTAACTCCAGCAAGAGCCCTTTTTAATTCATACAATGTGAACTTCACATCCAGCGTACAACCAGATGGACCTCTTTGTACCTTAATATCCGGATTCTCTTTTATTAAAAGTTCTCTGGATCTTCTCATTCCATCAGAAATATTTCTGTTGCTGTGCACTTTGACAAAAGATTGCGCCAACACTTCTGCTTTTTTTCCGTATCCGTTATTATTGGTCTTTCTTCACTTATTAAACTTGGTATATTGTTATATTTTTGTATTCCTCCCATCCTCCTAATCATACCCCATATTTCACTAACTTCTATTTTTCCTCCAATATTATCACAGAATTTTCTCCAATAATCTCTTTTACATGCACGGATAACTTTCCTTACAACTGCCTGTGCTCTCTTATAATTGATCAGGTCATCAAAGGAAAAGGACCTTCTGACCCTCCTAAGCATTCTGTTCCTAATTCTAATAGCATCGCTGCATTTGTCTGTCCACCAAGGTACTGTTTTCTTTCCTTTCATTCCTTCTTTTTTTCCAATTACTTCTTTTGCTGTACTATATAAGATTTTAACTAACTGTTCACTATATTCCTCTATATTATCATGCATTTCTTTAATTTCTAGCATTCTTATTTCACACATCTCTTTGAATTTCTCCCAGTTAGCCGTTTTAAACTTCCATCCGGTGAGGAACTTCTTCTTCTTCCTCTTTTTGTTCAATGGCCGTTCACTCCTTAGGAGTATTACCGCCACCTACTGTATATCTTGCGCACATGGATGATGAATCTATATGAAGAAGAAAAAAACATAAACAATTTTGTAATGCCCCACCCACCCCAGAGGACCAGAGCCCTCAGCCCAAGCTTCAGCTCCTCCAGCTTCCACACTGTGCTCCTCAACCTCCGGGATGGGCCACCGGTGAGGAATGCATGCGCGCGTTTGTATTCCGACCAATTTTTTTCTTCTTCAATAATCTCATTATACATGACATACATGTACTATAAAATACAACCACAGAAAAGTGTAGAACTGCACTATTTTGAATTGTCAGTGTCGTATCAGATTAAAAATATTCAACAACTTTAATATTTTAAGTCCTAACCCTAACCACACTGAAAAACCGGGATTCATAAGCTCCAGATTTTCTTACTTAACCCTTGTGTGGCGTTCATATTTTTGTTACTCAGCCAGTGTTCGTGGGTCTGGTGGACCCGCTGCAGTTTTGGGTTTTTAATTCAATACAGTCAAAAATGACATGTTAAAATACCCAACAGATGTCTATCCTATTATAATTTATTTAATGTATGAATTTACTTATTTCTGTTAATGTGACTAGTCCTGTGGCATGACAAATTAATTTCTAAATGTACATATGTTCCCCATTGTCTTTCATTAATATGTGACCATGAATCTGTATGTGTAACAATTATACAATAATCGTAAGTTGTTTATATTGAAAGACACTGCTGTCACTGCTTTACATGACATGTTAGCTACTCCAAAAATAAATGTAACTGAATTCTGCAGTGGATCAAAAAATTCATTTTAATGTGAAATCTCTAGTTTCCATGACCAGCTATGTATACAACAGCATAGTCAAAATAGGCAAACAGATACAAAAGATATAAGAAATTACCATTGTATTAAAGGCAATTCTGAGGAAATAAAATATTTGCTCAGATTAAAATTTCAGTGAAAACAAAACTCTGTAAATGAGCATACTGTAGTCTGTTAAACATATTAGTGAAGTAAAAAAGCATCTAGCATCGACTTCAATACAAAACAAATGTCTACTTATGTCAAATTACAATATGCCTTTAAAAACTCTTTTTAAAAAATGTTAGAAAAAATGTAAAAAAGCTTGAAAGCTATGGCCAGGGTAATACAGTATGTGGGATTTATACGTGTCTGTTGTTGCTGCTCAGCAGTTTGGGATAAGCGGTCCCAATAGAGCGGCCGTGTCTATGCACCACCATCTCCAGCTGGTACTCATCCAGATTGACCACGGCTGTGGTGGTCTTCTCAGTGGACGTGAGGAACAGGATGGTAAAGATGGCCATTTCAAACTCAGGACTCACACCAACAAAGGCGCTGGCCACTGGTTTGACCAAACCATGCCAGCTGAACTGCACATTCAAGACATGGTCATCTTCATTAGGCTGCATGGAAGAAAAACAAGTACAGATTCAGCAAAGACTGCACATAGAACAATAAATTCTTTTAACATTCTTCAGATTTACTGATGAAAAAAGTACCGCATCATTGTCCCTGGCTTTGTAGCCCTTGTAATCGAGAAGCTCTTGCTTCTCTTGCAGGTAAAACTGGACCCAGTTGTGAAGACCCATGATTTCTCTGCCAAACTTGGTTTCCCCAACAAACACATGCTCAAATCCACTGGAGTCCTCCCTTTTTGGCGATATATATTTTTTATAATTAGAGCAGATATGGAATAAAATATACACATTTTTTATGTTGTACTTGTGTAAGTCGCTTACCCTCCATTTCTGTCTCTATGATAAAGGCGGAACCACATGTAGTACAACTGACTCTTAAACGGTCTCAGATCAGAGCGTGATTTTCCCTTTCCAATCAGGCACGCTGAGGGAGTAAAACATGAATCTTTTATGAGATAAAAGATTTAAAGGAACAGTTCACCCAAAATTTCAAATTTTTGAAAACTGGCTCGCCCTCAGGCCATCCGAGACGTATATAATGGATTTGATTATTACTAGTGCTGTCAAACGATTAATCGCATTCAAAATAAAAGTTTTAGTTTACATAATATATGTGTGTGTACTGTGTATATTTATTATGTATGCATGTATATATTTAAGAAAAATATGTTATATTTGTATATTAAATATATTTATATATAATATAAATATGTACATGTAAATATGTTCAAAATATATACTGTATGAGTGTGTATTTATATATGAATAATAAATATACACAGTACACACACATATATATTATGTAAACCAAAACTTTTATTTTGGATGCGATTAATCGTCAGAAAGCACTAATTATTACAGACACACAGGATTTCGATCCCAAGAGTCTTGATGGACTGGAGTCAAATGGATTACTTGTGGATTATTGTGATGTTTTTATTATTCACTGACGGCACCCATTCACTGCAGAGGATCCATTGGTGAACCAGTGATGCAATGATGTAAAATTTCTCCAAATCTGTTTCGACGAAACTTTCAAAACGGAGTAAACAGAAAAAAAAAATCAAATTTAAACCTACAAGTGTATTTGCAAAACATATCAACGTTTTCCACATAACCCTTGCGCATGGTTTTGGTTTGCTGCAGTTTTCTTCTTTTGTTGAAAGTCTTACAAGAGCTCTCCCGCCCAGTTAAGTGGCCCCTGGAGATGCTCTCATGCCTAAATACACCCAAATACGTTCACTGTGTCGACCCACAAACATGCTCTAAACGAATGACCCCCAGAATCATCATTATACACCCTTCCACATTCTTGGTGTGGCAGCTGGGAACAACCACAATATTTTGGTTAGCAACAGGAAAAAAGGTGAATGTGTCTTTTCGAGAATCTTCTGCCTAAATCTTTACAACTTTTTATTTTTGTCATTACCTCTAGAAACAAGAGGAAGAGATGCATTTCTATGTGGTAAAGGATAGAGCTTGTTGTTATTAGAGGGTGAATTCATACCTTCATGACTGCTGTCTCCAAGACAGCATCAAGAAAAGAGTTATTTTCAGTCACCTCCTCAGCGGTCACCCTCTCTGCCACACCAGTAGATCTCTCATAGTTGTCTAAAAGCTTCATGAAGCCTGTTGAGAGGTGAGCAAAATCACCATTTAAAATCACAGAAGACCATTTTTGTTTGTTGGTGAAAACAATTTGTGTCTGGTCATTTTGGTGGGTAAATATCATATTCACACATGTATATGAACAAATGTAAACTTTCCTTTACTTCATTTCTTCAAGATTTTGTGCAATTACAGTTTCAAATACTTAAGAAACAAAGTAGAAAGACTGAAAACATATGCTCCTCTATGTAAAATATATGCTATTTTAATGCCGTCCTGATTTTCCTTCTATTCCATTTCAAATTTTGCTACTTTTTGTATATTAATATGCATGCCTTACAAAGTTTGTATGTTTACTGTCTTGTGTCGTAAATGCGCAATAAAAATATTTTTATAATATTTCATGATTCTATTCAACTCGTACTGTGTATTCAAAATATGTGATGGTTAGAATAAGTGGGTAAAATACAAATTTACATCAAAAGGGAACCTAAGTGGGTGGACCTTAGCAGAAAAAGTTGTCTATGTGAAGAATGTTACACCTAAATAATAATTTACCCATATTACCTTCTCCCTGTTTATTTTTAATTCACGAACTATTACAAATTTCATAATTAAAGTGTAAACTATGAACTTTGCTGAAGCATCACACGGAACACTTTGTCACAAGGTAACCATGTCTTTTCTCCGCGCTGGTCAAGGTGGACCAATCACAGTGATGCGTTTACTGAATGAGGATTTGATATAATCATTTTCATAGAGACAACGGAGGAAGAATCCCATTTGTTTATCAGATAGTACTAATTTGCATGAAAACGATAATAGATTTGGGTGCACAAACATATTCAATGAGCCAAAGGACTTGCTGATATTTGACTGCGGTTCAATAGGGGGTTTGGCTCTCTGAGCTCTTATGCGCCCTCTATTGGAAGCCCTCAGAAAACAGCCACACAATGACATGAAGGACAAGGACTCAATCATTTCATCAGTTTACTTCTAAAAACTGAAAGCAAAAGCTGGACGTAATGTATAACTTAAGTCAAAACCTAATAATGAAAGCATGGAAGCAACTTATATTAATTTAGAGTTGCCAGTAGAAAGGATAACCAATTGGACTTCATTATAAAATGCTGACAAGCAACTATCTAGAGAATGTCCAAGAGGTGGCGCTATTGATTAATTTATGTACTGTCCTATACCATGACACAAAATAATTTCCCACAAAAAGCGCTTATTAAATTTTTTAATTTACGTATTTTTCCATTTCTTTTGTATTACAGTGGTGGCAAAGCCACAGCTGTACGGTGGAAAACGTCGCTATGAAAACTACAGCATTTATTTGGGCAGCAATATGTTACTCTTTGTAAAATGGTTATTTTGGACATTTATGCAAGGACCTGCATTCACAAACTTCATTCTTTTACGAATTTCTGCTCTGAGAAGTGACAAGTCAAACAACATTCGTTGTAACTAATTGACATGAGTAGAAGAAACAATTAAACCTGCATGCTTTCAGTATTTTATTCACCTTTAAAAATGAGTAAAAAGTCAACAAAGTACAAACATGTAACTCTGAAATGGTTACGAGTGGCACTATATTTTCAATATATTTTTCAGCTGCTTACAATTTTGTGGACATGCCAGTATTGCATTAAAGATTCATGCTACATGATAGCATTTTCATAAATGAGAACATTATTGCTACCCTTTAAGTACTGCATCAGCAGAAGAAAAATTATTCACAATGAACTTTCTTTAAAGTAACAATATTTTGCTAATATTTTATCCAAATGAGGCTTAAATAACATGCAATCCTTTACAAACCAGATGTAAAATATATTGTACAGAGTTCTGCATGCAAATGCACAAAGCATATGCAGTATCAATGCATGTATTGGCTTGATAAGCCAAAATGTACAGTTCAAAATACAAAAAAAAACACTCAAACATTTAGACTGCACCTGGATCGATCATTCAAAAATATTGATGATTATTGCTAATTTAATTATTGGCAGTGTACAGCTTTAATTTATCAACAATTTAATCAAATATAGCTTTGATTTTACCTGAAAGTGTCCTTGTGCTCTTCTGCCACCATAATAACCGGCACAAACTGAAAATCTGTCACAGATTTAGGCAGGCAGATAAAAAAGAATGCATACTGTATCTCTCCAATGACCAGCAATTTACAGTAGGACTGCTATTTATTTTAGTTATAAATCATATCACATCGATCCACAAGAAACAAAAACGACCACTAACAAAAAAAAAACAAACAAAAAAAACACACACACAAAAAGGGCAGACATTCTTCCATCTACCTTTATGAGACATAAATTATTAAACACTGTTGTTAAAAGGCAATTGAAATACGTTAAAATGGTGTTTCTATGAGTTGACACTTGGTTCTGATTGATATATTTGGCATTCCGATGGAGGTGCGTGTGTGGAGGTGTTGGCAGAGGGACTGGCACAGTCACTTCCGATTAAAGCAGCAGCACTAGGGGCGAGAGTGTCCCCGCAGTGCCCTCACACGTTGGAGTCATCATCCTTCACACTGGCATTGGGGAACGATGTGGAGATCTCCTTGAAGAACTCGTCCTCCTTCAGCATACTCTGAGTACAAAACGCGGGACGCACAATTTAGGCACAAGCACACTATATAAAGCAACACAAGTGAGATCAGATGTGCAGCTGCTTGTTACCGTTAAGTTGTTGATGCCCTCGGAGAAAACGCCAATCTGCCTCACAGTCCCTTCAGAGTCCTCCATCTAGGGATTGCACAGAAGAACATAAAGTCATACAGGTGTTAATGATTACTCGATGATCGCTTCATTGTTTTTAATTATTTGAATAAGGTTATTGACTATTGAATAATCAACTGAACATTTAGAATAATTATGATATTTAAATGTTTTTCTTATGCTCGTCAAGGCTGCATTTATATTATTAAAAATACAACAAATACAGTAATATTGCAAAATATTATTACAATTTAAAAATGCATTTTAAAATGTAATTTATTCCTGTGATGGCAAAGCTGATTTTTTCAGTTGCCATTACTCTGGTCTTTAGTGTCACATGATCCTTCAGAAATCAAAATTATTCTTTGCCATCACAGGAATAATTAAAATTACATTTTAAAATGTATTACAGGCTTGTTACCGTTAAGTTGTTGATGCCCTCGGAGAAAACGCCAATCTGCCTCACAGTCCCTTCAGAGTCCTCCATCTAGGGATTGCACAGAAGAACATAAAGTCATACAGGTGTTAATGATTACTCGATGATCGCTTCATTGTTTTTAATTATTTGAATAAGGTTATTGACTATTGAATAATCAACTGAACATTTAGAATAATTATGATATTTAAATGTTTTTCTTATGCTCGTCAAGGCTGCATTTATATTATTAAAAATACAACAAATACAGTAATATTGCAAAATATTATTACAATTTAAAAATGCATTTTAAAATGTAATTTATTCCTGTGATGGCAAAGCTGATTTTTCAGTTGCCATTACTCTGGTCTTTAGTGTCACATGATCCTTCAGAAATCAAAATTATTCTTTGCCATCACAGGAATAATTAAAATTACATTTTAAAATGTATTACAATAAAAACATCATTCTTTTAAATTATAATAATATTTCACAATATTACTGTTTTTACTGTATTTTTGATCAAATAAATGCTTTTGTGAGCATAAAGACACTGCTTACATAAACATTTTAAAATAATTTTTTTTTAAATTGGATATTAATCAAAATAAGTTAATATTTAGTAAATATGAATAATTTTGCTAATTATTCATCATTTAAAAATTAAACCGATACAAAACATAAATGCATTAAATTCAGTTGACTGAAATTTAAGGTGAAAATACAAATTATTTATATAAATAAATATACAAACAATAAATGTATTATATATTTATTTAGGCACCAGAAAACTTCTATCACTACCTGGTCGAATCGGTCTAGGTCATCATCATAGATCTGGAGCTCCATGCCTCTGTAGCCTTTCTGGAAGCTGCGTCCTTTGGGCATCTCCACATCCATGGGACAGACATACTCTTCATTGTCCTCTTGTTTCTTCTTCCTACCAAATCCTCCAAACGCCAACTTGTGCGGCTAAATTTGAGACAGACAGCGTTTGAACTCCAAAATGATTAAATCACATGCCAGCTCTGCAGTAGATGGTCAGGAGGTGTTCTGCATCATACCTTGACTTTAGCCGTGGCGGTGAGTAAGGTGTAGTCTGGGTTCTCTAGATACTCCTGCTTGAGTTGCTGGGCCTCAGAACCCACCAGCAGGTTGAAGTGAGTGGCCAGATGCCTCCGCAGAAGAGTCTTGTTTGCGGGAATATTTAGCAGCAGAGCCATTGTCTCCATATTAAAACGAGGTTCCAGCACCTAAAATCAAGAACAAAATTATGCCCATTTGATAAGAAAAAAAATTTCACTTTTGCAGATGCTTTTACTTAATCTTTATTTCCACTGGAACAGCTTGGGGTCAACTGCTGTAATAAAGGTCCCGATATACTTTACATTTACATTTATGCATTTCACAGATGCTTTTATCCAAAGTGACTTACACTGCATTCAAGGTACACATTTAATAAGTTCTTGCTTTCCCAGGGAATCGAACCTATGACCTTGCTAGCATCCTGCTCTACTGTTTGAGTGACAGGAAGTCTTCAAGTGAATCAAAGAATGAGCATCACGAACCAAATCTGTCCAAAACAGCTTGCCAAAGCAAACTTTCCAGAAAATTTCACCCTGGCTGGTAAACACCAAACTACCATTGGTCTGTGGCAATTACTTAATAGGTAGGTGTGCTCTGAGGCTCCGCAAGTCAAAACAAACACACAGAGAACTGATTTATAGCAGAAATTTAAGTATAGTTTTTTTCATGTTTAATATTGTAAAGCTATGGAGGATCAAACCTGCTAAGGAAGGATAAGTGATTTTAAATTAAATAATATAGTCTTTTGGGAATACTTTTTCTTTAAAAAAAATAAAATTCTGTATTTTTTTTAAAAACAATTTGTATTATTTTTAACACTTACTTTTTACTATACTTATTTATTTATGCATTCGTTTATTTTATATTTATAAATGTACACGTTCATTTATTTCCATGTTTATTATAAATAAATGTAACATGACTTGAAATGCCGAAATATCGAGCTGGTGCAAACATATGCACATCGCTATGATCTGATGATTTTTTAATTGCCGTTTTCTCACCGCTGTCATTTTTATTGTGTGTTTATTTTGTTATTTAGAGGAAAGCATGCAGCACATACTTTTTGGTTTCCAGTGCAAATCTTTAACCATTCCAACAAATAACCTAACCTAGTGCAAAGTTGTTTCTCACCATCAGTCCTCCATGTACTCCACTGCCCCTCAGGTTGGGTGCATATTCAGCTAGATCGACGGACCGCAGCCACTCCATCACACGGTGGTTGGTCCATTGAGAGATCTCAGCAGGACTTATGTTGTTCTGAAATAATTGGTGAACATAAGGATTGCTAGTCTAAGTACAAAAATAACAGGACAGCACAGATTAAAGTTTGGTCTCTCTTCCTACCTCATCTGAAGGTCTTCGCCGCAGACAGTTGGGGTCATAGTTGTTGAGCCGGAGCACCTGGATGGCTCTCTTAATACTGAGGTGATGAAGAACACTGCCCACTTTCAGAGATAATAGGTCGCCCTGTTCAGCATGGACAGAAGAGTGTGGACTTCAACAAATTGTTTCTAATTACAATATCATTCAAGGATTTGAGGTCATTATGTTTTGATTTTTGGAAAAAATGTATACTTTTATTCATTAAGAATACAAAAGTCCCATTGTTACAAAATATTTCTATTTTAAATAAATGCTGTTCATTTGAATTTTTTAATTATAAAAGAATCCTGAAAAAAATACATCACAGTTTCCACAAAAATATTAGTTATCAACATTGATAAAAATAAGCAATGTTTCTTGAACATCAAATAAGCGGTTTACTTTATTAAGAAATTCTTAAGGATCATGTGACACTGAAGACTGGAGTGATGACTGAAATTCAGATTTGCCATCACAAAAATAAATACATTTTAAAATCTATTAAAGTAGAAAACTATGGAAGCCCGTTTCCACCACTGAATAAAAAAATTCTTCTCACAATTGCCTGATACAAACTCACAATTCTGACGTTTTTCTCGCAATTGCGAGCTTATATCCCGCAACTCTGACTTCATGTCTCGCAACTCTGACTTCATGTCTCGCAACTCTGACTTCATGTCTCGCAACTCTGACTTCATGTCTCGCGACTTTGCCTTTATATCTCGCAACTCTGACTTTGCCTTTATATCTCGCAACTCTGACTTTGCCTTTATATCTTCATATCTCGCAACTCTGACTTCATATCTCGCAACTCTGACTTTATATCTCTCACAATTCTGACTTTATATATAAAAAACAAAACAATCGCAATTGCCTTTATTATTTTTTTATTATTCAGTGACGGAAACGGGCTTCCAGAGGAAACACATATTTAAAATTGTAATAATATTTCGCAATATTAATGTTTTTCTTTTTTTAAATCAAACAAATGCAGCCTTCTTTCAAAAACATTTTAAAAAAATGTACCGACCCCAAAGTAGAAAGCTAATAAATATTGAATTCTAGCTTAACCTTTTAATCAGTGATTAAAACTTTAATTTATATGTCAAAACGTGATATTGTCTGGGGAAAAGACTAACCACAGCCATATAGTGAAGCATCCGTCCATCCACACGTCCCTCGTCAAACTGAGTCTTGTACTGTGGGAGGCCGATATCATCAAGCCACCCTAGAACAGAAGGAAAGGGGTAAGAAAAACCTTTTAATCAGATACATTCAGCCTTAACTTAACAACAAATCTGAAACCGTGGATGAATAAACATCCATTCCTTACTTGTCACCCAGTGGTAGTCTAGTTTGCCTTTGTTGTCATCTTCCTCTGAGCCCAACGCCTGCAGGGCCAGCTGGAGTTTCTTCCTGTGTAGAGGGTGTTTTATTCCCAGCTCCTGCATACAGAGAGCACAACAGTCCTTGAACATGAATTTCAGAAGGAAAACTGATTATTTCCAGGCTTAAATGTGGTCTCAGACATTTGGACTCCACTATATGCTTTCATCCTGATTCTGAGAAATAAGAGCTCACTCTTTCCAGATCCTGCTGGGATGCCTGCAGAAGCGTCTGGCCGGAGGCGACCCACTGCCTTGCCAAACTCACATATAACCCCAGTCCCTGCTCCTGCATCCAATCACACACCTGCTCCCGGGACCAGCGTGCAAACGGAGCGTCCAGCTCACTGGAAAACACAAACAAGCAGATCTTAGGAGGTACAAAGACAGTGACTGCTGGAGATATTTGCCATTTGACCATTTACCACAAAAATGTCACTCTGACAACGTCATAAATGAGATTTTACTGAGGAACTGAAACTCTGAATCGATAAGTTACATGCAAGTCTGTCACCAGGGTGTTTCCCAACAGTAGATCTTTCCATTTTGAGAAGGAGCTCTATCCTGTGTCACTGTGATTACAGACCTGTTGGTGTTCTGCAGGTCACATGACCAACCCAGCCTGGGTCCAGCTGTGGCTCTGACTCCACCCCGTTTAAACTCACTCTCGGATAGGTTATCATCCAGGTTGAATGTGGTTGATTGACTTCTTTTGAGCCTTTAAAGAAGAAAGAGAAAGTCATCAGTTAATATTTATCATATTCAACTCAAATTGAGGTGGATCAAATAAGCCAATAAAAGAATTAATACTGCATGCTTTAAATGACTGACAAATTCATCCACATTTAACTCAATAAATAAACAAATAATTATATATATATATATATATATATATACTGTATATATAGATAGATAGAGATAGACAGACAGGTTTATATGACGTAAATGAGAACATTAATAATATTTGTAATATAATAATACTTTTATAATTGTTTTAGAACAATACAACTTTTATAATATTTTCTAGAAATGAAATTACAATAATATATTCTTTAAATATTGAGCATACAGTGTTATTTTATACAATTTTAGTATTTATTAATATTTAGAATTAACTATTTTGTTTTCAATTTTAGTAATTTTTTTTTTATTTTTTAGATTTAATAATTGCAGTACTTCAACTTATTTTATTTCAGTTAATTACCGCAAAAAAAAATTTTTTAGTTTTTGTTTTTTCTTATCTAATATTTGTTTTACGCTTTTTTTTCAATTAATAATACTTTAATAATTTTAGGTTTAGTGAACAATAGCACTACCAGGATTTAAAATATGCTAGATAAGGAAAGATCCCCAATGTCCAAAAGACTCACTTTCCAAAGAGTGCTTTGATTCCTTTTGACTTTTTCTTGCCCTCCGGAGAAATGGGGAGAGTGTGTGTGCTGTCACTGTCAGCTGACCTCTGCGGCATGCCTGCCAGATCCAGATGGTCAGTGCCATCCCTCTCGGTCTCAGCTGTTCAAACAAACACATACACAAGAAAAGAAAAAGTCCTGTTGTCACCACAGCAAACTACGTTACCCACAATACCATGGTCAGTCAAGCATCAAATAAACTAAAGATTATGGGAAGGAAGAAAAAACAAGTCAGTCGTTCAGTTAAAGAGTAGAGCAGTAAAAATGTCATGAATAACAGGAAGTTTCAAAGAAATAAAGCCCCAAAATGACAAAAAGCCTTCCTTGAACTACTGGAATCAGCATCATGAGGCAAGATTTCAGATGACGTCTCATCTGGACTGAAAAACAACTGGATTGGGTTTATTTTAGGAGTGGAACCATGGAACGAAGTCATATGCTGACATGCAAGTCAACACAATGGAAGTAAGAACATCTCTGTTATTGAATGGCACTAAATCCAGCCTGAACGTATGGTAGTTTGGATGTGAGGGGAACATACAGAGCTGTGAGAATGTGGTCAGAATATTTAAGTCCTGGGTAATGTGGTCACAAAATAACATGCGATGAGGACAGAACCTCTATATACTTCATGATTACCACATGAGCTCAATGTTTAAACACATCTATTTATTCTATTATTTTGACAAGAGGACTTCAAAACACCCATAATCGTCATTACTTCATTTAATATCATCTCCTGCTATGAAGAAAAGAAATGAAAATAAACCAACTTTAGGCCTAAATTTCTTACTCTCGAAATACAGACCTTTTTTTTTTTTTATCAAGCCTGAAGCTAATATAAACAAAGTGTTCCTTCCCACAATATGTTATCGATCACGATCATTTGGGTTTTCAAAATCAGTAAAATACTTGTTGCGTGTTTTGACTTTAAATTTGCTTAATATACTGATTTTGAGCAATAGCAGAGAGTCTGTTTGAAACAGTACAACACAGTCAAGAGAACCAATTGATTATGTGTGGAAATGCATGAAGTTGATGAATTTTTCATTGAAGGAAAGAAAGAAATGAAGACACATCCAGGTTCTTCTTTGTCCTTCTTCAGAGAGACCATATGGCAGGTATAGCCCGTAAATGGGTGTTTGTACTAAATTTGGGCACTCTTGACTCATCAACATTTTAATCTAAAAAACAATGTCCAAACTTTTTTTTTTTTTTTATAATTTTAGCTTCTTTTTTTATCACAGTGAAACTGTAATTGACTATGGGCATATTGATCTAGAAGTAAGATATAAAAACATACAGAGCTGTGAGAATGTGGTCAGAATATTTAAGTCCTGGGTAATGTGGTCACAAAATAACATGCGATGAGGACAGAACCTCTATATACTTCATGATTACCACATGAGCTCAATGTTTAAACACATCTATTTATTCTATTATTTTGACAAGAGGACTTCAAAACACCCATAATCGTCATTACTTCATTTAATATCATCTCCTGCTATGAAGAAAAGAAATGAAAATAAACCAACTTTAGGCCTAAATTTCTTACTCTCGAAATACAGACCTTTTTTTTTTTTATCAAGCCTGAAGCTAATATAAACAAAGTGTTCCTTCCCACAATATGTTATAGATCACGATCATTTGGGTTTTCAAAATCAGTAAAATAATTGTTGCGCGTTTTGACTTTAAATTTGCTTAATATACTGATTTTGAGCAATAGCAGAGAGTCTGTTTGAAACAGTACAACACAGTCAAGAGAACCAATTGATTATGTATGGAAATGCATGAAGTTGATGAATTTTTCATTGAAGGAAAGAAAGAAATGAAGACACATCCAGGTTCTTCTTTGTCCTTCTTCAGAGAGACCATATGGCAGGTCTAGCCCGTAAATGGGTGTTTGTACTAAATTTGGGCACTCTTGACTCATCAACATTTTAATCTAAAAAACTGAATGTCCAAAATTTTTTTTTTTTTTAATAATTTTAGCTTCTTTTTTTATCACAGTGAAACTGTAATTGACTATGGGCATATTGATCTAGAAGTAAGATATAAGTCGTACCCAAATTAGGGGCACTAGCAGTCCTCTTCCCTCCCTTGATCTTAAAGAATCCCCGTCCAAAGGAAGATCTCATTTTCCTGGTACCGAAGCTGTCATCCTCAGCAGTATGAGAAGAGCTTGGGGATTTGGGTGGCAGAGTTGTGATCTTGTTGAACTCATCAAATTCTTTTCTCTAAAAGTGCCGAGATAAAACATTTGAGTAACTTCACATAACCTTATGTATGTAATATAAAAAGCATAAATGTTGCACAAAATGTTGTTACTGTTCACAATCTATTAAAAATCATTTTCATTCAGTGAAACAAAGGTGAAATAAAATAGAATAAAATATAAATATTAGATGAAAAACTTCAACTTAAAAAAAATTTATGTAAATTGAAACTGCTGCTTTGGTTGAAGAACTAAAATTACTAAAACTGACAAATAAATTGAAGGTAAACAGAAATCTAATGGAAGATCTCATTTTCCTGGTACCGAAGCTGTCATCCTCAGCAGTATGAGAAGAGCTTGGGGATTTGGGTGGCAGAGTTGTGATCTTGTTGAACTCATCAAATTCTTTTCTCTAAAAGTGCCGAGATAAAACATTTGAGTAACTTCACATAACCTTATGTATGTAATATAAAAAGCATAAATGTTGCACAAAACGTTGTTACTGTTCACAATCTATTAAAAATCATTTTCATTCAGTGAAACAAAGGTGAAATAAAATAGAATAAAATATAAATATTAGATGAAAAACTTCAACTTAAATTTTTTTTTATGTAAATTGAAACTGCTGCTTTGGTTGAAGAACTAAAATTACTAAAACTGACAAATAAATTGAAGGTAAACAGAAATCTAATATAAATGACAGAAACGCATACAATTTCTACAACTTAAAGTAAAATTAAAATTGTATAAATTATAATATATATTTATCATTACAAAAATTCAAATTTAATATAAAAACAACAATTAATAATAATAATATTAATAGTTATGGTTTAAGAGAAATACACTTTTTTGCTGACAAAACAAATAAGAATTACCTCTGCTGGCCTCTGATCTACTGTTAATGGCTTTTGGAATAAAAAATTGAACAAACTCACTTTCAATCACTTTAAATATTCAATATATTGCCTAACCCTAATAACAACCTTAAAAATAAATACACTTTTCCTCAAGTCTTGATTGAGCTGAAATTCACCTTTTCACTGCCTCTTCCATCAAGGTTGCCCTGGCTTGCTGATTTTGTGTCCTCTGAAGCTCTAAAACATGAAAAGACATTGTTACCATCACTCTTTTCAACATACAGATGTTCATAACCACTATGGTAATGTGTCTGACACACACCTTGATTCACAATAGTGGCATTTCAGGTTACCCAAAAACTAGCAAATCATAGTGTGCCGTTTATGTAACCAAACTCCACCTGACACATACTCACTCGGGACTCTCATCTAATGGGGTCTCCAGTGATTGAGTTGGCTCCTGACACTCTTTCTCACTACAAAGGACAAACACACAAGCATTGGGATGCAGAGGTGGTGGCAAAGCATGATGGGTAAGCAGTGGGGTGTATAGCCGAACATGCATTGATGTGCTAAAGGTGAGAAAATGATACTTTAAACACCATAGAATGATGGGATAGCATGAATAGGGAGACGTGGTCATGAACTCTGAAATTTCAAAGGCTAGAAAGGATGGAAAGTGGATACTAACAATAAAACACAAGAAAGGAAATGCCTTCAGAGGTGCTAAAACTAAGGATAGGATGCTTGGATGCTGTAACATAGGTTGGATGCTCCGGAATGTAAAGCTACAGCCACAGCTATGATATAAAAGAATGTTTGCTTGTCCAGATTTTATTAGATGATGATCCTGCGTGAAAAAACAACCTCAGGAGACAAAAGGGTGTGTTTTAATGTACTGAAGTTTACCTTGATAACTGCATTTGTTCCAGGACTGAATCACTGTCTGCTTTGTCTGGGGATGAGACTGTGAGCGATGGCACTTGGAGTGTACTGACAAATGTAGTCGCCTACAGGTGAAGAGAACATGCAAAGGTAAATTCACATCAGTGTATTCTCCACACCAGCTGTTTTCAAAAGGCAGACCCCTGAAGATCCATCTCAAACAACCTTTCCAGCATAAAAATACATTATTTAATATAACATAATGCAATATATCCTTTTTATTAGGGATGTTTTATTTATTTGTTTGTTTTTTATAAAGCATATTTGAAAACCACCAACCCAACCATAGAGCTGTACTGTACCATTAAGGGCATTAAAAAACAAGAACATTAATATAGATTGAAAAATAGAAAGAGAAGCTACACACTTTTTTATAACTCTGTACATTTTCCCCTCATTATCTGATTTCTTTTTTTTTTGTAATGTTTTGGAGTCTCCGTGATGTTTCTAATTACTGTAATACAGTAAAAAATACAGTATTTTTTATTTTTACATCAGCATGCACACCTTACAATTTAAATAATGCAGATTTGTTTTGTAGTACATGTAGTGTTGTTACGGTTTACAAACTAATAAAATACATTTTCGTTCAGTGAAATCAAGAAATAAAATGCAGAAATGAAACATTTGAGAAACTTCACATAACCTTACGTATGTAATATAAAAAGCATAAATGTTGCATAAAATGTTGTTACTGTTCACAAACTATTAAAAATAATTTTCATTCAATGAAACAAAGCTGAAATAAAATAGAATAAAATATAAATATTCGACGAAAAACATCAACTTAAAAAAATGTAAATTAAAACTGCTGCTGTGGTTGAAGAACTAAAATGACTAAAACTGACATAAAATAAAATTGAAGCTAAACAGAAACGTTTGAAAAATCTATTTCTACAACTTAAAATAAAAAAATAAAAAATAAATCAAAACAAAAAAAATGCTATAACAGTACATAAATAATTCACTCATAAATAATTTAATCATTCACTCAGTTTTGGAAGTCCTTGGTTCAAAAAAGTTCTACAGCATACATCATATTCTAAGGATCCATCACCTCTGAACGGTAATATCTGAAGACATTCAGTCACTTGCTGACAAGTGTTTCTTCGCGTCTTGGAACGTCTGTGACAGTATGAGCCACAGTTTGACATGCTGTGTGTTCTGCAAGTGTTCAATTTTGCCTTTAGCTTGAAAAAAAAACACCATCAACACAACTTTGCTGGACTGTCAATCAGTTTGTGTTGCTTGTGCAGTGATTTTAGATTATGCATGCCAAAACAAAATATAGTTCTTTAACAAGGATGCACACTAACCACAAACGATGAATGGTGTAACCTCGAGGGAAATTTTATATGAATTTTGTTGGTCTGAAAAGAAAATTGTACCTCATTTTGACCCCTCACAGCAACTTCCTCTGTGTAAGAGAGCAGAGACTTCTCCGGGTCCATGGAAACAGAGAGGGCGGTGGACATGGAGAGGGAGCTGTCGCTATTGCTCCCATCACTGTCTCCTTCTTTGGCCTTATCTGATGAGAAAGACAGGAGATGAGGGAGATTTTGATCATAAGCTCAGAAAACGCCACACAGCAAATACAGCCTGTCACTTATCAGAAGCACATTAAAGGATTTAACTAATTGGATGAAGCTCTAGAAACCACATCCAGGTCACATTTCACCCCAAAATCAATATATAACATAATATAATGTAATGTAATAATATTTCATTTTTGTGATAAAGAAGTACATTTACCTCTCATATTCAGATTTTTTCCCCCTGTAATTTCCTTCTTATTATTGTATTACAGTAAGAATTACGGAAAATGTAATTTATTTATTTATTTTTAAATTTCTACATCAACATGTACGCCTTCCACAATATTTAATTTACAATTGAATAATGAATTATTCTGTATTGCAGGTAGAGTTGTTACTGTTCACTAAAATTATTAAGATCATTTTCTTTAAAGTAATGCTAAAATAAAATATAAGTATTAGATGAAAACTTTAGCTTAACCAAACTTAAAAAAATTAAATGAAGGTTAGTTACTAAAACTACAACAAAGCTAAATAAGAAATGATAAAATGACAGAAGTACTTAAAATTAATAAAGCTAACTAGAATTAAATAAAAACGAATTAAAAATATTAATTAATACTATAATAGTATATAAATAATACTAAAATTACACTGATTACAGGAAAGACATACAAATTTTATTGACATCACTTCGGAATTTTTTTATTAAAATAAAACAAATCACCTTTTCTCCCTTGTGCTGACATGACCATCTCTTGTACTTTCTTGTAACGCATGAGTGACTGTCGCAACTCTTCAATCTTGCGATCCTACACAAAGCATCATTAACAGCATGAAATGCCAAGTTCCTTTATGATTTTCAAATGCAATGGGCAAAGAAACTTATGACTTAAAACTACCTTCTCCTCATTTGCCGCCATCAATGACTCCATTGCTTTCTTCATCTTCTGTACTTCCATATCTGCAAAGCACAGGCTTAGTAAACTAAAGACCATTTCATAAACACTAAAGGGCAAAGAAACATTAGGCCTCAGGCTTGACATTTAGCATCACATAAACTGTAGACAGACATGTTGAGCTGAAATACAACAGTGACCTTCTGTGACAAATGTGAGAAATGTACACAATGAAAGCAAGGAGGAGCTTGTTGGGATTAAACGTGAGTGTATGCAGCCACAGATAAGAGTGGACGTCCAGCCTGTGAGGTCATGAGGAGTGTCAACATGGGTTACGGGCAATGCACTATAATGGAGGGAAGAGGGGAAGAAACTAGCTTTGGGGAACAGGAGGTGTTACATTAAAAGGTGACAGGCAAGACAAACAGAAAATAATGTAAATATGACATGCCAGATGGCGACCACAATCTGACTTTTGTCTGGGCTACAACATAAGAACGGATTGTTATTCATTACTTCTTTCCCTTTCCTATACCTAATATCTTGTATTTTTAAATCCATTAACTTCCTATACGACTGTAATTTGCAATGCTTCCGTGTTGTAGAAAAGCAAGCTTCATGAGTACCATGCCCAAACATGCAGGCACAGGAAGCAGAGGACAAAAATAGTACAAAGATTAAAAAACTGAAAAAGGGGTGTATGTGTAGAAGGTAGACAAGGAGTCCCCTTACGTTTCTCTTTGAGCCTCTTTTTTAATGTTTCCTCAGTATGGAAAACTGTTTAAGACAGAGTAATGATATTAAACGTCTTCTGTTATTGAATGTGTTGCACCAATAAACCGCTATCAGTAAAATGATACATAGAAAAAGACATCAAAACAACAGGGGAATAATAAAAAAAAATATTTAATTAATTAAATAAATAAAAAAGATTAAAAACTATAATAAATAAACCACACCAAAATAAACAACAAGGAAAAACAATGGTAAAAATAAATAAAAATAAACAATCAATAAAATAAAAAAAACAACCAAAAACTAACATAAATAAAAACCAAATAAACAAACAACAACAAAACTAAATAACAAGAGAATATGTAAAAACATCTAATCAAAACAAACAAAACAAAGCAAGCCTAAAATATAAACAAATCAAATAAACAAAAACAAAGCAAAAAAACAACAAGGAAAACTATGCAAAAAAATCTATACAAACAAACCATAGCAAACAAATATAAATGTATAAAAATGCAAGTAAAAAAGCAAAAGATGATAAAGAAACAAAAATAATTAATAAATCAATTTATTAATTTTAAAAAAGCAACAACAACAACAAAAATATAATAAATAAATAAACCAAATCAAAATAAACAACAAGAAAAAACAATTGTAAGAAATCAAAACAAACATTCAATAAAATATAAAACAAATCGAAAAACTAACAAACAAAAACCAAATAAACAAACAAAAAACGAAATAACAAGAGAAAACAACGTAAAAACATCTAATCAAAACAAACAAAAACAAAGCAAAAAAACCAAACAAACAAACAAAATGACAAGGAAAACGATGTAAAAAAAATCAATACAAACAAATATAAATATATAAAAAACACAAGTAAAACACAAACAAACAAAAGAAACATGTAAAAATCAAAAGTAAAACAAAGCAAATAACTAAAATCAACAAAAATGCAAAAAATAAAATAAAATAGCACAAATGAATTCATATAATAAAAATTGATTGAGCTTGATCTACTCCAGATATTACAGTACAGCATCTTAGATACAGCATAATGACAAGACAAAACTAGACCCCTGTAGGGCACGCTGGGACAGGCAATACTGCAATTACTAAGTGTGAAGAACAGCAACTATGCATGACCCACCTCTCTCTGTGCTGTCTAGGCCTGCAGGCGTTGGGGATCTGGACCCCGTCTCATCCTGCAGCCTCCTCAGATCACCATCTCTGCCATCCAGATGCCTTCTCAACGTAACCAGCTCCTCCTGAACATTAAAACACACACCTCTAATAACTTTGATCCAAAGTCTGGACCACCACTGAAGTTAACAGGTTAACCCAGCGATACCAAACCATGCAGCTACTAATTACTATCAGAGAGATCAATAAATGGCACATGCAAAATGAAAGTTTGACACAATGTTGTAGATAATGTATTGGATTATCTCACAAACAGTCAAATATTCAATTAATTAATTATATGTGTCTACAACTCATCAAGATCACATTCAAGAACTTAATGAGTTCAATGCATTGCCAGGGTGGTTGTGAAGTTTATAACACCAAAAAAAGCTACAGAAACACAATCATGCAAACCTCACACTGAGCTTTTTGAAGCATGTGGATTAACAGTATGCTACAGTAGGAAGTAGCAACAGAAATAGCTTCTCCTGCATTATAAAGCAGTCTGAAACTTAGCCCTCTCAGCTTAAACATCACGTAGAGCCTCACACTAAAGCATACTTGTGGTTAATGAAACATGCTGAGATCTTATACTGGTGCCACTGCTTATAGAGGAGGGCAGATTTAATGAGCAGCTTTCAAATCATGATGAGAACTTTGTCTGTACAAAATGGTGCAAAATGGAGGGCTATGGAGCTCTCAGTCAAACTGAGACAGTAAAAAAAATTGGCTCATAGGCTCATTACAAGTGGCCTAAGAATGTATTTGGACTTTAAAGCAACACTGAATGTCAGTGCATTGTTAATAAACTATTAAGTGTGCATTGTTAATAAACTATTAAATGTGGCCACTGTATAATATTTAAACTGAAGCCTTCATTAAAAGTGCCAAAAAGCAAAGTTACAGTGAAAAAATAACTAACTAAAAAAAATCTTTGGATCACAACCACATGCAGCAACCACCCTGAGGTAAGCCGACCTTGAGTGCCTGGATTTTTTGTTCCTTCCTCTGTTTCTCATACTGCATCTGGCCCATTTTGAGTTTCAGGCTAGAGAGCTTTGCCATTAGCGACTAAAGGCAGAGAGGTTAGCCAAGGAGGAAAAGGAAAATAGACACTTAAAGATAACAAGAAAGATGACAGGTTATGTAAGAGAGACAGAAGAAGAGAATCCCTTTGCAAGCTTAAAGATGGTAACATCAATTGTTGTTTTCACTAGCATTGAAAACTAGCATTGAAACTCACCTTAGTGGATTTCAATTTCTTTTCATACTGTAACCGTTCACTCTCCATCTCAGAAATGCGATATCTCAGTTCATTAATCTCCAAAATCAAACCCTAAAAAGAAGAAAACGTATTTAAAATGCAAGCAATCTCCATAGAATTTCACGAAGTGTATCAAGCATTTTAGCAACAAATTATTTTTAACAATGTTATTAAATTTACTGTAAAATAAAAGCTATATGGGTTAAAGTTAAACTGCTGACTGCATATGTATGCTGCCAATTACATAAAAAATAAAATAACATTTACATACAATTTAAAAAACTGAGGGACTTTAATGCATGGAATCTAATAATATTAATAACTCATTTCTAAACACACATAGACTTATCATGGCCATATTCCCAAACAATTTTGCTTCAAAGGGCTTCAAAGAGAATCCTACTGTCAAGTTTGAAATGGTTTGTTTAACAAACAGACTAAGTATTCAATCGTTAGAAATGCTTTACAAGCAGCAACATTTTTTTTTTTTAAATCTAGTGACAAGCTTCCATTCAGCACACAGGCCTTTCAGGGCCAAGCTCTTTGTCAGGATGTCTAGCATTCAGCCATGGATTTATGATTCAATAAACAACAGAGCAGCCTCTAGTTGTAAACACTCAGTGAAAAAAAAATACAGATGCATCCACTTGGAGCAGTGATCCGGAAAGCGTAAGGACAATCTGAATTCACTACAGTTCAAAAGTTTGGGGTCAGTACAACGGTTTTCAACTCTGATGATAAGAAATGTCATAAATACTTCTTAAGCACCAAATCAGCATATTATAATGATTTCTGAAGGATCATGTGACACTGACGACTGGAGTAATGACTGCTAAAAATGTAGCTCTGCCATCACAGGAAAAAATTACATTTTAAAATATATTCAGATTATATTCAAATAGAAAACAGTTATTTTAAATTGCAATAATATCACAAAATTACGGTTTCATTGTATTATTGCTCAAATAAATACAGCCTTAGTGAAAATAAGATACTTCTATACTTCTTTTCAAAAAATATTTTTAAAATCTTACCGGCCACAATTTTAAACAGCATTGTAAATCGAGTATTTCAGGCTACAGTAGTTCTGATAGTTCTTCAAAATCTAAAATGACATACTATAGTCTTAGTCTGAACAGGATAAAAAGAAGATATTTTGGGAAACAAACTGGAGTCTTGCTGAGATGGCAAATTATGTGGCAGCAAAATAACAGGAAACAGCAGAAATAATTTATATCTTTGAAGAATGTGTTGGCCAACCTAGACCAAACACACTTACCAATTTAGTGCACAGTTTAAACAATAAATAATTTGTATATGTGTTCTATAATACTCTAGGAAGAATGAAAGCCACAATCACAAAGAAAGGCCTGAAATGGAACGTTTGTCAACAACAAGAAGACAAAACCTGTTTTCTGTGGCTCACTGTGAACACACAGGTGCAGAGACTGGTTCATCTCCATGACCCTAATCGAAAATCATCCTGCTTTTCTCCATTTTTTGATGTTGTTTGACTCAAAAATACGTGTTAAAGTGATAACAGCATTTCCCAAGCCTAAATAAAACATGTTATGGACAAGGACCGAAAGCAACCCTGGACAACAAGGCCAGCTGCTCTGGAGTTCATAAGATAATAGTCTGCTTTACACCTAGTCTAAAGTTGCTAGACTTTTAACAAAAAACTAAAAAAAGGTCCAGTTTGCATTTGGGCCAAGAAACGCCCACTTTGACAGGAAATGTATTTGTGAACTGGCCAAACATGGTTTAGGGCAGGTTTATCTGAAATAGTTGAAACCACTGATGTGGAAAACCATTCCAATGGATTCCATCATCTCGCTGAGGACCCTTCCTACTCGCATTCATCCAGTGGGGCATAGTCCTTAGTGGTAATGACTACTTTCTTGAGAGAAAAGAGGCCACCCAAACCATTTTGGGTAAATGGTATGTGGTAAAGGCTGTTTTTGCATTTGCCATTTTGCCCAGACAGCAAACAAAGCAGAGAATAGTTAAAAGCCCAACATTTCAGTGCACTGGAACAGATTTCCGTAACATGACGTGATTGGTAGATGTCCGAGCACTAACAGATCCCATTGTTGAATGCACGTCTTTCTGCTTCAGGCTTGTACAGAAACAAAAGGTTGGCTATACTGCAGAATCACGAATCTAAACAAACATTCAAGTCATTTTCCAGCAAACTGCAATATGTTAAATCGGTCAAAACAAAAGAGCTATGTGTGCCAATGGCGGAATCACAAATTAACCAATGACTAGCATTATAATTAAAGCACAGCCACTGACATTTTCAAATAAAGACATCCTTACACAATTATTTCGCTCATGCATGTGTTCATGTTTTTTACCTCACTATCTCCAAATCTGTCATCAAAATTGAGTCTCTCTTTCTCCATTGCTGTTAACTTCAGTTTCAAGTTGGAAACCTCTGCCATAAGCTCCAGCTTCTGAGTCTCAAGGGCTGATCTGCAGAGGAGTTCCTAGGAACAAGAGTTCACAAATGGAGCATGTACAAAGAAATTCGGTCTTATGAATTACATTTTATGGGCTTCTGCTTGTAATTACACAGTATAGTGAAGACGTGATAGGAAACTAAGGGCTGAAAATAAGCTCTAATGTGCAAAATGCACATGTACCCAACCACCAGACCATGTCTCCAATAAACAAGGCACATCTTTAAACCCACCTGTTGTAACATTTCTTCGGTGGCATTTAATTTCTCACGGTGTTCATCAAGGCACAGGTCTAGGTCCCTTATCTTTTCTCCTTGCGCCTCCACTTGATCCGTCAAAACACTCACCTGCAAAGAATGGTGATTTTATTTTATTCAGCAAGTATGCATTAAATTAATCAAAAATGACAGTAAACACATGTTTAAAAAAAAATTATATTACAAATAAAAAAAAGAAAAGAAAAAGCTGTTCTTTTGAACTTTTCTTTACCAAAGAATCCTGAAAAAAATTGTATCATGGTTTCTACAAAAATATTAAGCAGTTTTCAACATTGATTATAATAAGAAATGTTTCTTGAGCAGTAAATTAGCATATTAGAAGGATTTCTGAAGGATCATGTGACACTGAAGATAAAAGGAATGGCTGCTGAAAATTCAGCTGTCATCATAGAAATAAATAGCATTTTAAAATAGATTGAAAAAGAAATCAATTATTTTAAATTGTAATAATATTTTACATTACTGTATTTATGACCGAATAAATTCAGCCTTGGTGAGCACAAGAGACTTCTTTCAAAAACATGAAAAAAATCTTGCTGACCCCAAACTTTTGATTGTACAGTACATGTATGTATATACAAAGTTACCTGAAGCACAAGGGATTCTTTATCACTTTCAAGACGATTAAGTCTGTCCTGGTAAACATCACCGGTGATTGAAATGTGTCCATTTGACTGTCCAAAAAACACAGAAAAATAATTTATTATAAAAGACTTCTGGAATCCAACACAATATGGCTTGAAACAGTAATACTGAGGAAAACAGGGTCACTTGTAGGCATGGGTCGATTACCGGTTTCAAGGTATACCGTGATTTGAAAATGTCACGGTTTCAAAACCACTAACATTTTCTGTTGTACCGTTCCTGCGGTATGCGCCGTTTTTCATGTCTCCTCAAAGAAAGTGTAGGAAGGAATCCCTCAGGTTGAGTGCAGTGAGTGACACAACCTCCCTCCTGTTGGTGCAGCAGTCAGTCACATGTGTGTATGACGACCGAAGGAGCTTCCCCTGGAACTTACGCGATTGGCAACCAAATCTTTTATTTGTTTTGTTTTATTGCAGCCGATCTCTGTTCTGGACTTGCACAAACTGCGTTGCAATGCAACCATATTCCAAAATGTCATTTATGTGAAAATATGAAGTCTGTAAACGCCCGTTAACACAAGCCAGAGATGCTGAAGACAGACACACAGAGAAAATACAGTAGCAGACAGTAGCAGAACTAACTGTTCATGATGCACAAACTATTGGAAGAAAATCCTAAATAATGATTTGGGGGTTTATAGGAATGTGTTTCTGAGGGGAACTGACTGCCTTCAGAAAAGTTTAGATGGTATTTTCATCTCGTCTCTGTATAATTCACATTAAAGCAGTGTTTCAGCACATCGCTGCTTTGTTTACAGCGGTAACCAAGGAAACGTATCTGCTGTTTCATGAGCGCCTCCAGCTGTCAGAGAGTGAACCTGCGACTCATTCAGGCATTGTGCTGTGTGATAAAACTGCACATTTTAGAGTGGCCTTTTATTGTGGCCAGCCTAAGGCACACCTGTGCAATAATCAGGCTGCCTAATCAGCATCTTGTGAGGTGTGCCACACCTGTGAGGTGGATGGATTATCTCAGCAAAGGAGAAGTGCTCACTAACACAGATTTAGATTTGTGAACAATATTTGAGAGAAATAGGCCTTTTGTGTACATAGAAAAAGTCTTAGATCTTTGAGTTTAGCTCATGACAAATGGGGGCAAAAACAAAAGTGTTGCGTTTATAATTTTGTTCAGTGTATATAAATTAATACTTTTATTTAGCAAGGATCCTTTAAAATTATCAAAAGTGATGATAAAGACATTTATATTGTTACAAAAGATTTCTATTTCAGATAAATGTTGCTTTGAAATCACAGGAATCAATTACATTTTAAAATATATTCAAATAGAAAGTTATTTTAAATAGTAAAAATATTTCAAAATTGTACTGTTTTTGCTGTACTTTGGTACTTTGCAAATAAATGCAAGCTTAGTGAGCAGAAGAGACTTCTTTAAGATTTAAAAAAAAAAACATTAAAAATCTTATAGTGATACAAATACACTATCCTCTGGTAATATATTTAATACACCAATTTAATATTACAATTATTAAGAAGTTGTTTGAATCAATGATTCAACGACTCACTCATAGACCTACTGGATGAATCAGCATTTTAGAACGATTCTCTTGAATAAATGATTCATTCAATCATACATTTTTTAAGTCAATTTTCGCCACCTAATGGTGAAACAATGCAATCGACACAAACGTTATGTGGCAGTTACTTTCAAATGCGGATTTGCTCTATTTTGGTCGCGCTACCATAGACATCAATGTTTATATCTGAATGATAAACTTTCATCCCAGTATTTCTGTGATAATATGAAAGACTGTACAACAGAAATAATACGGTGTAGTTGAAAAGACTGTTTGTGAAGCTGTTTCTTTCAACCAAACATGGTAACTGCTCTCTGTGTGTCAGCGGCAGTCCGAACACAGATTTGAATGATCCGGTAAGACTTTTGTCAAAGGTTTAATTGACATGGGAGAATCGTTGTCATTTAGAAATGAGATCGTGTGGTTGTCTGAATCGAGATTGCGATCTTTTAACAATTAATCGTGCAGCTCTACTACTGTTCCAAATACTCTGTATGTTGCAAAAAAATAAAACATATTGTGTTCAGTGGGAAAAGGTTTTTTTTATTTTTTACCCAGACATTTAAAAATAACACATTTTAGAGCTGTAACAACAATACTGTGATACAGTGAAACGGTGATATTTTTGCTTAAGGTTATCATACTGTCAAAATCTCATACCGGCCCCATGCCTAGTCACTTGAGATTCAGGGTTTTCATGCACCATTTATTGTGCCAAAAAAAACATTAACATTGGGTGAACGAACATAATAATCCAGGTAAAATGACTAAATATGATACTATGTGTTGACTTTCCCTTGGCAGTTGTTCAATCTGTCTCCAGACTCACAAGAATAATGTTTCTTGGATCTGCTGTAACTAATATCTTGAGGCAATGATAAAACGAAGCTGCACTGCATTCTTAATTATGAATAGAACTACTGCACATGATGCTATAATACCTTAATTAATAATTTATAACATTGAACCCTTATTACATCAGAATGAAAATCGTGAGCACAGGCCTAGCAATACAACCGAAAATACATCCAACAGACACACTTTTTCACAACATCATTGAAAATAGACTACGGGCTAATGGGAAAATAGACTTCCTATAAATAAAGGATGTATAAATAACTATGTACCTCCTTACAACATGGCAACACATTGTATGTTAGCTCATGTTCACATCCAGAGTAGACAGTGAATTCCAGATTTCTGGAATGTGATGTACGTACCAGGTGACCATGCAGCCACTCTACCAGACTCTCTGCGGTAGAGTCTGGGATCTGACAACGCAAGCTCTCTCTCTCCTCAGCGTCCATAAGCTCCAGAACACCCCTGAGGTCTTCCAGTAAGTTCAGGGCTCGCAAACTGCCCATGAAGGGTGATGTTGGGGACTGACAATCAAAGATGCCATTGGAGTAGTCCAGAGCCTTGGAGCCTGAGCGCCAAAGACAAAAATAAATAAAAGCAGTGAATGGGGAGTTGATTATATTTTATTCAGACAATATTATACGCAAGAAAATTGGTGGAGCTACGAGTTATACATTAAATGCTCATGAGAGCGATACAAGATTAAGAATCTCTTTTACAATAAAGCACAATGTACGGCATTTCTGAATTAAGCAATCATTATAAAAAACACAATTATCATGTACTGTTCGTGGCATAAAAGATAGTATGACCTTATAATAAAGCATGCTGTGGGCAAATGGCCACTCAAGTTCTGAAGTTAGAATTAAGTAAGAAATTCTTTAATTGCTAAAACCTCAATAATGTGATCTGACAGGGCGACTCAAACTTGAAATGTCAGCCTTATAAGCCAGTGAAAAATTACTTCATATGCTAGACCATTTTGTCAACATGCTAATATCGGTCCAATCTTACTCTCTTTAAACCTCAGTAAGGTTTCATGAAATAAGTCTGTGACATTTTCACTGCAGAACATTTCCAATGTGGATAGAATGAACAAATTTACCAATGTGAAGAGAATTATTTTGTCAGGTTTAAATGTGGAGGGACCGTTGGATTTGGAATAGGTTTTAATTCACTTTTGGTATGGTTAACAGAAATGTTGAAAAGCCTACATGAGTACAATTTTACCTGCTATAATACCATCCATTTGCTCCAAGGCTGCTGCCAACATGTCACTGGCATCAGACATCATCTTGTTAAGCACTGTTTATCCTGAATAAAGAGGAAATAGCTAAATAAATATTACAGTAAACAGCACAAAATGCATTTAGGCAATCTCTAAAAACTTTAATAGAAATCTTTTGAAGGATTAGGCACTGAATAAGTCAAAACTACAAAACCGAATGAAGAAATAAATGCCATTGTGCTGCATGTTTGATACACGACTAATGTTATTCAGGAAAGTATTTCAGACACCAAAAATTTGTTTAGAATTTAACAGAATCTAGAGCCAGATCAGAAAAACATATACAGAGGCCGAATAGACAGAATTTTTTTTATCTACTGTTATTTTACTATTATTTAAATACTATTATAATATTCATTATATACATTTTAAATTAGTTTTTATTTTTATATTTTCAGTTATCATTTTATTTCAGTATAATCAGTGTAAGTTTTAGTATAAGTTTGTTTTATGTCCTTTTTATTATTTCTATTAATTTCTATTTACCTTATTTTTTTATTTTAGTTTTAAGTTATTTTAATTTCAGCTTTAAGTTTTAAGAATTTTATTACTTCAACCTAAACTTATTTCAGTTATCTGCCATGGCAGCATTTCTAATTCTAATTTTGTTTAATTTCATTCAAGTTAATGATAGCAACACTGATGTGAGCACAGAAGCTACAGTGCATGAAAGTAGATTTCTCAATCCTTGCCATTGATCTTCATTTCTAACGGCGTATTTATCAGGACTGGGTCTCCCTGTGATGGTTCTAGAGAGCAGAGCACATCCTTTGGGTGAAAGGTTGGCTGGTTCTCAGCTCTCTGCTGTTCCCTGGGTAACGCAGTCAAGCTCCAACCATTAGCCACAGATTTTAAAGAATAACTGAGCCATTTATTTCAATTATTGGCACAGAGCTTGTGCTGCCGCTGGGGACACTGGGTACTTTGTTGGGGGACTTGCGGGGACACATTGTTAGGCCCTTTTGGCTCGTGGCCCGAGAACACAGCGGTGGCATTCTCTCCGTTTTAGTCCTCAAAACAAGGAGGTGAAGAGATACCCTGTCATGTTCATGTTATATCCTATGCACCAGTGTTGATAAATTTGTCTGCCGTAATGCACAAATACAACAGGCCAAAGGTTAACTTTCACATCCGAAAGAAGGGAAAGTGTGCTATACTAAGTGGAAGTTCAGTTTTTCTGCATAGAATTGGCTTGTAATCTAAGTCAGATGAGCTATTCAACCATTGAGGCATTCAAAGAAATATGTGAAGCATAAAAATCACAATGCATCACTCTGAAATTATGTGTTGTGGTTAAGGACGATCCTAAAGGCTGTATACTGTACAGTGAATTAGCAGTAAATAATCCTTTAAAACGGGTAAACACAATTTGTGTAAGAAGCACGTAGGGATTATCAGAGCAACTTAGTTTGACAGCAAGCCTTTTTAAGGGTCTTATACCCCTTATCGTCTAATAACCCAGCTCTGTACAGAGTGTACAAGCAAGTTAACACATTTCATTTGCAACATTTACACTGGCCATGATCTCACTGCACCAAACCTGTTGTCAAAGTACTAAATGCGGTCAGAGGTGGGTAGTAATTTCTGGAAAATGTAGAATTAAAGGTGGGTACTTTTACTTTAACTCAAAAAAAAAAGTACTTTACTTCATTACAAGGGTGACATTCCTCTTGTAACTTAATTTGTTTCACAATATATGTTAAGAAATTTGTAGTTTATTCCAAGCGCGCTGTCTCTTTTTTCTGGGGCATTCGCGATGACCCATTCACAACTGAATCACTCTTGAGTCGATTCACTTCAGAGAATTGTTGGCAAACAAGCTATCAAAATGGTCTTGAATAGGTTTGTGAAACAGTTTGAATTATGTCTTCCGTTCCATGCATGCACTGAATCTTGCGAAGCTGTTTCTCACTCGTACTGGTTGAATGTTAAATTTAAGAACACAGAGAATGTAAAGAGTGTTGGATGAAGTGGCCACGAACCTACAGCAAACTGAGACCAATTCTGTAAATTAATCCTATGGTTTGCCATCGATGAAGATGTTTATTAGTTGAACACCTGTGTGTTCCGTCTATGAATGATTCAGGTATACATTTGATTTTTATCTCAGATAACATATTTTACAACCAAACAGATTATTATGCTAAAAGTAGATCCGTCAGTGTGCATTTGATTTGTTATGGTCAGATGTTCCTTCTTCTCTGTCAGTGGTCCCTTCAGATGCATTCAAGCACAAAACTCTGCAGGTTTGCTTTTTGATATTGTGTAATAAATCTTAATGTGGCTGTATATATTATTATTATTTTAAAAATGACATGAAATTATACTGGGGCTACAGATGAAATGCCAGGAACAGTGCTTGTCTCTACTGAGTTTGTTGCACTCTAATTATGACTTTAATATAATCATTTCAATAATCGAATATTAAATAATAACGTTATTGTATTATAGATACACACACAGTACGCCATTCTGTAACCGAAATGTCACTTTAGATCAATTTAATGCATCATTCCTGAATGAAATATTAATTCAAAATATATACAATAGTCAAAGGCAGTATCCTGACAGTTTAGTTTAATTAAAAGTTTAATTAAAGTTTGCTATCCAGCCACTAGACATTATAAGGCCACTGGGAGTTATAAAAGGGGACTGACTCCAAATATATGTATGCACAGGCTGATTTGAGTCACATCTGTTAATAAGTAAATAAGCTTGTCAATACCAAACACTGGCAGTGTGAATGTAGCCAGTTTGTTAGAAGAAAAGTGGATCAAACACTTTCCTCTGAAGAGTTTTCAAAAAATGCTGTGAAATCAAGGTCAGAGTAAACTAATGCGATTCACTAGTGTGAAAGGTTTAGTTTTTAAAAATAACAATTCTTTGATCCAGAACTATTATGGAACTTTTCAATCTGGTCTTTCAACTATATATAAATAACAAATCAAAACTTTGTCTGGAGACTCCTGTTATGTCTAGAAAAGCTGTGCTATACAAACATCACACCGGCGGTCACATGTTCACACAGCAAGCTTTGGTGCATTTTTTCCTGCATGTTTCTAAACAGTTCTGTCAATCTACATTAATATCACTATTTAGAGTAAATAAAGCAGCAAACAAGAACTCATTGGATTTTCTCTCTCTGTCTGGAAAGACTTTTATTATGAGCTAACAACCACGCAGTGTAGACTCAAGCTAAGCTCAGGATGCTTTGCATTGCAGATTTTTGCATGGCTGGAATTTCCTCTAATGGCGGGAACATGGTGGCTTCCAGCCTGTAAAAAGCGATAACACGTTCTTTATGAAGCTCATATTTCCTCTCTGAATCGTGTGAAGTCAAACAGAGGAATCAAATCAAGACCCCGGGTTCAGATCTATCAACATCAAAATGGTTTATGCACATGCAAAAAACATCATGCTGTCAAACAGCAAAAAGTTACAGCACAAGTATTTTTCTAAAACCACAGACAAAGGAAAATCTTGAAGTACTGTATTTGCTTCAACAATCCTTGGAACAAATCTTACGAGAAAACATGCCAATAATGACATTAAGTGGGAAGAAACTGAATGTGTGACATAAAGCCTGTCCTTTGTGTGGAAATATTTTCCTGGACTCTGGCCTGTAGGTGCAATTATCAAAAGGAAACAGTCGGCTCTGTTTTTTGAACGTAAATAAATATTCCTATTTGTACTGTTCCCTGAAAAGGGCTCAAGATGGCATTAAATAAAAGGTTATGAATATGAGCATGAGAATGAGAATAAGGGGAAAAACCCCTAATGGCCTCTGAAATCCATCAGACGGGCACCTAAGGGCACAATGTGTATGAACTTTATCCACTCCACACTCTGTTTGAGCCGTATTAGCCACTATCCCTCTCTGAAGCGCTCTGACTGACTGACAGAAAAACCTCTGCTGGCACATGCTGGGGAAAAATAGCAGCCTTCGGGTCATTCATCTCAACAGAAATAAAAGCAGTTATGGCAGGCCAGCCGTGTAAGCCAGCAAATTCGCCTCAAGTCAAGCTAAAGCACGCATAGAAACATGCTGGAGAGTCATGGGAAAGACATTTTTAATGGCCCTGTAAGCACATGTTAATCTGATAAATAAATATGTATGCCAAGCTTTCTAGTAAATGCTGACGTTAATATTTTTTATTCACTGAAAAAACAATGGGCGTTAACCAATAAATGGCCAAAAGTAAAATTCAAATTTTGCTAAATTACTTTAAAAAAACACTACAAATTAAAAACAGTTGTTTTAAATGTATTAAGTTAATTTAAGTATCAAAACATCATAATGTACAGTATGAAAATGGATATTCATTTATTGCTTTGATAAAGATTACATTTAACAGTGTCAGTCTAATTAAATTATTAGGATTTCTAAAGATTAAATTGATTGATAGATGATGGTAAAGGTAATTCAAATATTAAAATAGGTTAAATGAACAGTCATGCACAATTAAATATTCAATATCAATAAAGTAAAAAAAATTTACAGCATTAGCAGAAAACAGAAGCTACCAATAAATCATGCATCACTACTCCTTTGATAACTAAGAACTGAATGAGTATCATATTCATGTACCATGGTACATACACATTTGAGGTCAGTAAGATGATTTTTTAAAAGAAATTAATACTTTTACATTTACAGTCATTTAGCAGATGCTTTTATAAAGCACGGACATGTTAAATTGACCAAAATTGACAGGAAAGAGCTTTACAAAAAAACACACTTTAAATAAATGTTTGTTTTTTCATGTTAAAAAAAAAAAGAATCATGAAATAAAATTATCATGATTTTCACAAAAATATTAAGCAGCAAAAAATAAGAAATGTTTCTCAAGCACCAAAATGATTTCTGAAGGATCATGTGACACTAAAGACTGCAGTAATGGCTGCTGAAAATTCAGATTTGCATCACAGGAATAAATTACATTTTAAAATGTATTTGAAACAGAAAACAATCATTTTAAATTTAATATTTTAAATAAATATTTCACAATATTACTGCTTTTACAGTACGTTTGATAAAAAAAATTTAGCCTTGGTGAGCATAAGAGGCAATCTGATGACCACAAACATTTGTGGTCGTTTGTAGTGTACATCATACACCAATTCATAGAAAACCATGCTATTACCATGATACATGTTCAACACAAAACAAATTGTATTGACATGTTATATCCTTTTTTTTCTTCGATTTGAATTTGTTTTTATCAGCTTGATTGTGCCAGTAGGTTTTTATACACTGATAAATGCTGTGCCTGGTTTCACGTGGATGAAAAAAAGCAGTCAGACGTGATTGCAGCATTTGAGCCAAGCGTAGAGTTCTAAAAGATGTTTGGGTCTCGTGCAAGTACTAGAGGAACACAGATGTGCACAAGCCTTCAGTCCAGCCTGTGCATGTGGGAGGAGGACAGCCCTTGCTTACACATGTCAGAAATAGAATGGAAGTTTTTTTTTTTTTACTTAACTCCACTCATTCATATTTGTGGCTATATTGGGGCGTCACTAAGCAGATTTTTATACATAAGCAGCCAATGAAACACCACCGCTGACTGTTATCACACTCAAAACTTCTAAAGGGACACCCATCTGACACTGATCTGAAATATCCTGTCACTATACTAAGCCAAGGCATCGTTGTAGAATATGATGCATCATACTTCACATAACCACACGGAACCGAGAAGGGACGCCTGCCTGAATTCAGGGGTGTTTCATATGCTATCTATAGCTAACTGTAAAAATAAAAAAATTCCACACTGCTTAGGTAAATGCACAGATGTGTTTGCAAATATAAGTGGATAAAGGAAAAGCATGTGTGTGTTTTAGCCCTTCGAGATGGCAATAGAGTTTGTTACACAACAAATAAAGATGGCTGATGAAACCCGCAGGCTTACTTTGGGCTGCAAACACAAGATTTAAACAGCAAATGATGCTCTTTGAAGTCTTTCAATAGAGGCGGCTACTGTAAACATCACACCATTTACACAATATCACACATGTGTGACTGAAATGGACTTAAATTACAAGAACAGTTACAAGGACAAAGCTTAAAACTACAAAAAGCTTAAAACTAGTTGAATAGGTACCCAAAAAAACCCAGCATGTAACCCTGAATTAAATGTTACATTGTGAAGTAGAAAGGCTGAAATAGTATTTTCTTGTAAATAACACATAGGCTTATTTGTTTTATTTACAACTTCGAAAAAAAAAATTTTACAGTGTAAAGCAGGGTTAATTATCACACACTTTACTACAGCATTATTTCTGAGTGGACGTTCATTTTTAAGTCAGTTTTTGTATAGACACATACCTTAAAATGCTGGCTACAAAAATAAACTGCTTTATTGCCAGGAAAAAGCTAAAGCTGACAAAAACATTTTGTTGCAGCTAATTGCATGTTGTAACAGGCTTTTCACTAAAACACTAAAACAATTACAAAAGACCTAACAATTAATGAAACAGAAAACTAATTACTACTGGTTGAGAATGCAGTTCAACCTTACAGTTAAAATCTAAAGTCATTAGTTTTACCTATTACAAATTATGATACTATTGTTTTTGTTTTTTGGAGGATTCACAGACGTAATGTAAAAACTAGCTTTGTAACAACATAAAAACCACACAATTGTCTACGTGTTACTGATTTGGTTCAAAACCATATAGTTACTGATATTAAGCCTTTTTGACAACTTCCAGTGTGACAACTTGCCCCTGTCTTCCAATGCACATCCAAAAACATAAATGCTGCAGCACACTACAAACTATAAAACGTTTATTTAAATAGAGGAAGTCACTCCAAACATATTTCTGTAGACTGTACAGCTAAAAAGTAACAATTACGTTCTGTAAGCTCTGTCTCAGTCCAGATCACAGGTGAGGATGCGGTAAAGCAAACATGTAAGAGCAGCTCTTGTTCTTCTGTGGCTACGTGGAATGTGTGAATCCCTTCCTCACAAACACAGCTGTGCCTCAAATCCCTAGTTCTGCTCTTCAAATCACACCTTGTGTTTTTAATTGATTTTAAATAGTTTAAAATATACCTTGAATTTTGTGTGAAGTATTGCACAATACCTACAAACATCACTTTGTCGATCCGGGTTTCTGAATATAACCTCATACACTTGTACATAAATGCTCTCTGTAATCAATCCCTTAGGCTATGAAAATATTGCTACGTGTGAAGAGATGATAATTTAATAAACTATCATAACTACGCACAAAACTAACTTTTTGACATTTATATATATATATATATATATATATATTTTTTTTTTTTTACACAATTACAAGAAAGTTTCCCACTCAAGCAAGTTTAGAAAGCCAAGTAAATTCACAAAGAACTATCAGTTAGTTAACGTACTTTGACAACAAGAATGCTGTGATTACTTACCGAATCTGGACCGCCTTCTAAAGTATGAAAATATTAATCCGTGGACTCTTTTCTAGCGTTTGAATGTCTTTACGAGATTGGCTCTTTCCGTAGTTGGCGTTCCCACCTCGCCAGCGCCATGTCGACAATGAAAGTGGGAATGTGGGACGTCATAGGAGCGGACATACTACGGTGAAGGTTTGCTGCTTAATATTCATGAGCTGTGTCTTCGCCATTGGATGGTCACTGAGCCATCTAATTAATATTCAAGAAGACACTTTTCGCTATAGGAAGGGTACTAAATTGCATCACCGCTATCTAATTAATATTCACAAGATGAGCCTTCGCCATAGTAGCATTAGTAACGATAATGGTGTTTGTGTTTGTTTGGTCATACTTGTGAGGCATTACTTCACTTACAAATAGTGAAACATGTTAAAAAAGCAACTTTGGAGCACTTCGGAAGTGTTCGTCATAAATCAGCCAAATCGTGTTGATATGCTGATATCTGTGTGAGGGTTAGGTTTAGGTAACTGTATAAAAACAATGAACCAGATAATGTATTAAAACATTTTTGTATAAGGTATCAAAACTAATATAGTGAAACCAACATGATTCTGCTCAGATCTCTTTATTTACCTGTCATTTAGTCTTTTTTTTTTTTTATCTAGCACACTACTGTCACCAAAGCTATATCTTTGTCAAAACTGAGGTGTTCCTCTGAAGTCAGTTGCTGGAATAAGGCATGCATACACCAACTGCAATTTGACAAGACTAAAAAGATTTTAGATTCTGTGTCTCAAAACCTAGTGAGAAATGCAGAAGAATACTGAAGAACACAACTGTTGTTCATGATAGAATACAGACAATAGCCTAGAGAACTGAAGCGGAGATATCAAGTCAGAATACATCTGTTTCTGTACATGATATGCAGCTTAAAATGTAGATTGTATGTAAAATAATTTTAATCCAAATGAAAGTTATAAGATGGCACAAGAATCTGATCCATTATTTCAGTATGTTGTAACCAATAGGCTAATCAAACTCAAAATATTCGTTTTTTTTCTCCTTTTAAATTTTTTATACGTTTTTTTGATTATACAAATACATAACTTAAGGAGGTGAGACTGAGACTAATATTTAATCAATAAATGGTTTCTCAGTAGAAGTTCTTATGCTTGGCAGTATAGTATTGACATAAGATTCTGCCTTATAAGAACCTTAAAAACTATTATTTACAGTAGCTATTAAGATTTACTTTGTAAATTCACATGGTCTACATGAAAAGATACATAACGATTTAATAAATTAACAAAAAGATCAATAATGATTTGTTCAGTCATAATTTCAGTACAATCAATTAATCAATATACATACATTTTGCATCTAACATCAAAAGTAGAATGTCAATTTATAGGTCAACATTACAGCAATATTTCACCCCAAAAATGAAAATTTGCATGAAGATGTATTTATCCTCAGACCATTCAAGATGTAGATGAGTTTGTTCTTCAACAGAACAGATTTGGAGAAATTTAGCATTACATCACTTGCTCACTAATGGATCCTCTGCAGTGAATGATGGGCAGCTTTTAGCTGCACAGGGTGTTAATTGATGGACTGGAGTCATGTGAATTATTGTGATGTTTTTATCAGCTGTGTGGACTCTCATTCTGACGGCACCCATTCACTACAGAGGATTCATTGGTGAGCAAGTGATGTAATGCTAAATTTCTCTACATCTTGTTTGGGCTGAGGGTGAGTAAATTTCAGCAAATATTCATTTTGTGGTGAACTATTCCATTAATTTAAAATGATCATACTGAGGAATGCATGAACGTCTCATCTTTAAGGCATTCACAACAGCCCCATCACAATAAATACTGTAACAGCCATGATCTCCATTATACTGAATGTAAACAGACCCACAGATTTACAGCATTGCATTGCCTTTGAGAGGCCTCTCCATCTTCACTGTTTTTGGATCACACTCCAACATCTCTCTGATCCATTCATCATTCAGTGCACCTTCAATGAATTCCTCTTGACTGATAATGGCTATAGAGACAGAAAGAAAAAGAACTTCTGTAAACTGCCATTTTCTAGTAGTGCTTTGAATTTCAAGAGTGGTTGAAATAATTTTGCTATTTTAGATAGCAATGTAGCTTGTATTGATAGCACGTAGCTTGCCATTGTTATCTTTGTCCAGCCGTACAAATATCCTATTGGTGCATTCTTCAGCAGTCAGTGGATCAGGTTTGGTCAGACATGCTGCAACGCTCATCTTGTACACAGCCTGAGTGAGAGAACAGTCATGAGAGAATATTAATTTGTGAGTATATATTACCCTCTAGTGGAGCAATCCAGAGTCACGTAAACAAACTGCATTTTTAATTCCATAGTAAAATGCAACAGTCAGATGAGAGCAGCAAGTAATAGAGGTTTTCAGCTATAGACACTTACCTGCATGATTTCCAGCATCTCCGAGCGTGTGATGGCTCCATCTTTGTCTTTGTCATAGAGTTTGAAGGACCAGCGCAGCTTCTCCACCGTCGTGCCCTCAATCAACATGCTGATAGCTGTCACATATTCTCTGAAGTCCACAACTCCATCCTGTTAAATGGCAATCATATCACACTTTTTATACAAATAGTGAAAATTGCTAAAATAAATAAATAAGCTATTAACTTAATTATTATAGGTTTTATTCAAAATGCAGAAATGCAAAATGAAATGTTTTAATAATAATTTTATTTAGCCTACAGGTTTAGCAGTTTTGTTGTGTGTTTTGTCCTTTTTATTTGTTTCTTTTTTATATTTATATATATATATATATATATATATATATATATATATATATATATTAAGTGTTGTGAAGGTTAATGTAATATGTTACAGATTACACTTTACCCTATCTAAAATGTAATAAGTAGTGTAACTATTTCAATTACTTTATTAAAGTATTGATGAATTGATTACATTTGATTAATCATTTTCAAACATGTAAACCAGGCAGGGTTAACCTTACAGTAGTATACTATTCAACACTGATTACTGTCAGACTTTCAAAATCCTTCATCTTTTGAAGTAAGATTATAATAATTATTTATTTTTACTAATTTATTTGTCTTTTTAATCATTTTAAAGCACAGCCACCGCAAAATCAGACTTACTTTGAGATCATTCTGAAGTTAATACAGATTTAAAACCATAACAAGAAATAGTTTAGTAGCTAGCTACGATACTGTTTTTGAAATCAAATCTTTGCGTAGCTATGACAGGAAACACTAGCATAACAATGGCTTGGAAGAAACTGTTAATCTTAAAAAAAATAAAGCATATACATCAACCCGAATAGGAAATAAAACAGTTAACAGTGTCCTAAACTCCTGAAAGGTGTCTCATATTTTAGAGCAGCCACTGCAATTTATGAAATAAATCAATTTTATCTGTATGTGGGTGCATGTGGGAAAAAATTCAGATGTAACCCCTTATGTAATTGTTAACATTTTCATACGTAACTGTAATTTAATTCAATTTTTTATAGTAACTGATTACAGTTACATTTATTTTGAAATTAAATTAAGTAATTTAGTTACATGTAACTAGTTACTTCCCAACAATGTACTGTATATATGCTACGCTACTTTACTTTTCTAAAAATCCATTCTTTAAAAAGAATCATTTGGGAGAAACAAGTTAGTTAGTATAGTGTCTATTGTTATGCCTCTGCCTTTTACAAGTCAAGTCAACATACACGCATGTTTTGTAAAGCCAGTGTTTTGAACACATCACATATGTTTGGTTTTGAGCTGTGAAATACCCCATTGTTATCTAGCGTGCGGAATATCTGCTCTGCATACTCTGCTGACTCTTTTCCCACAGTTCCCTTGCAGAAGTGCCGTCTGAACTCATGGAGGGTGATCAGTCCACTGGGACATTCATTCAGGAACTTCCTGCCAGACACGAGCACAAAAGTGGACACATTTTTAAAACTATTTCGATTATTATTGCTAGTATTATTTTCTGAAGAGCTTTTTATAAAGCTGAAAATGTGATAGTGTAGTTTAAAACTGATATCAATCAATTCTTTTCTCATCTTAAACCACTGATCAATATTAACTGACCTTTGGGTTTTTAGTGTTGTAATATAGATATTGTATAGATCCAAATAAAATAATTCAAATAAAATAAATGCACATTAAATAAAAATACACTTTAAAATTTAGCTTATTAACTATATTTTTATTTGATATACAAAATTAAAAATAAAATAAATACACATTAAATACTCATTAATTCAGTGAGTTTCCTTGTAATTATTATTTGTAAAATGTAGCCTACTATTAAATTCTGAGTACAGATTTTTCAAAGAAATCCTACACCAATTTTTT